TTCCTTGGTCATCTGTGCCAGGAAATTATCATCAATGCACTCCACAAAACTCCTGGATTGCTTGTACCCTGCTGTGCTGTCCCTACAGCAGATATTGGGGATGTTGAAGTCCCCCTTGAGGACTAGGGCCTGTGAATGCAAGACTAATTCTAGTTCTCCAAAGGTCTTACTTACTTCTCTTCCTGATCAGAAGGTGTTTAGCCACCGCAGCATAGTATACATTGGTTTGACCACTAATACTGACCCTTTAGATCTCAGCTGGCTCACCATTCACCCCCAGGCAGAGGTCTGTCCGTTTCTGCTACTCTCACACAAATGGTGACTCTCCTTCCTTGCCTTCCCAGTCCATCCTTCCTAAAGAGACTGCCTCCCTCCATCAATGTCCTGCCATGTTGTCCCCTCAGCACTTCATATTGTGCTTGAGGGGGACCCCTTCCAGGTCTGTTGTGCTGAATATGAGGCTAACATGCTCCACTGCTTCCCTGTTTGATTGTGGGTTGTCAGCTCCCTTCCCTGGTCTCTGTGTAAAGCTGTCCTCACCAAGCCAGCCAGCTGTGTGCCAAACTTTCTTTCACTATTGAAAAATTTAAAGCTGTGAATCAATTAATGTTTTTATAGTCACATTCAATAGTTTCTGCACAATCCATTATAGACCCTGCTGAAATTTATTTTGGATACCCTTCTCAGCAGCAGTGCAGATTCAGGTGTATCTCAGTTGGTTCAAATATAGTGTTCTTACTGTTGTTCTTGAACTTGTCGCTCCTCTCTCAGTCATCTGCCATGTACATCTGTTCAGTTTATTTCTATGATGGGCAAGCAGACATGCTGGGAGCAGGATCCAAAATCTTCCAAAATGAGATGTGTGGCAGGTGTCTGGTAGGACAGCATGTAACTTATCATAGAATCATAGAATGGTTTGGATTGAAAGGACCTTCAAAGGTCATCTAGTCCAATCCTCCTGCAATGAGCAGGGACATCTTCAACTAGAGCAGGTTGCTCAGAGCCCCACCCAGCCTGGTCTTGAAGGTCTCCTGGGATGGCACATCCACCACCTTTCAGGCCAACCTGTGCCAGGGTTTTACCACCCTCATTGCAAAGAATTCTTTTCCTCACATCCAGCCTGAATCTCCCCTCTTTAAAACTATCATCCCTAATCCTATTGCAACAGGGCCTGCTGAAATCTTTCTCCATCTTCTTATAGGCCCCTTTTAAGAACTGAAAGGCCACAATAAGGTCTCACTGGAGTCTTCTCCAGGCTGAACAACCCCAACTCTTCCAGCCTTTCCTCGTAGTAGAGGTGTTCCATCCCTCTGATAATTTTTGTGTCTCTCCTCTGGACCCCCTCCAACAGGTCCATGTCTTTTCTGTACTGAGGACTCCAGAGTCAGAGGTAGGGGTCTCACCAGAGCAGAGGGGGAGAATGTCCTCCCTTGACCTGCACTTATCCCACTCCTATGTGTGCTCCAACTCCTATCGCAGCCAGATCACTCCCAGACAAAGCCATTCTTTAGTAACATCATCAAGTTTCATGGCAGCCTTCTGCATTCCTGAGGTCAGAGCTCTACACACACAGGTTTGGCAGCACTATCTGAAGCAGGGTTGTGCTGCTTGAGCATGGCTGTGGGGTCTATTGCAGCCACCCAGTCCCCATGTGCTGCAGGTCTCTGAGATATGGAGAGATGATTCTTGGGCTTAAAACATACCAAAACACGATTACGGAGGCTTGAGCTAGAAACACAGGTTTCACAGGTGCTAAAAACACAGCAGCGGCAAAGAAAGTAATGGGATGAACTCCCGACAGGTGCACTAAGAGCAGTTTGGGAGGTTGGAGTTTTTGGGTTTATTTTCCACCTTTTCGGCCCAACACCCACCACGCCGTGTGGAATTCCGGCCGCTCTCCCTCCCACCGGCTGAGGGCGAACCCCCTCCAGCGCTCCACGCCCGCCGCACTCCAACCGCGGACGGTCCTGGCGCGCACAGCCCGCCCGGAGCCCCCTGCAGCGGGAGACAACGCCACAGCACCACCCCAACCCCATGCGCCCATTGGCTCCGCCGCATGAAGTCACCGGCGGGGCGGGGCACGGCGCCCGATTTAATGGGGGGCGCGGGGCGCGGCCTCCGCAGTGGAGAGTGCGGGAGCGGTGGAAGGGTGGTGTGCGTGCGGGGCAGCAGGGGACACCAGCATCATGCGTGAGATCGTGCACATCCAGGCCGGGCAGTGCGGAAACCAGATCGGCGCCAAGGTAGGGGCGGGAGAGGGGGGCGATTCCCGGTGTGCGACTGTGGGACCCTGGGGTCGCACGCCGCCCCGTCCCCAAAGGGAGAGTAGCCCGGGGCTTGATAAAGCATCGCGGCTCCTGCTCCCGTCTCCGGCAGTCTGACCCTCCTCAGTGCTGGGCGCCGGCTAGGCTGTGCCCTGGCTCCCGTCTTTCGCTGCCCGCCCCGCTTTTCCACGAGCAGCAGCGGCATCCGACCTGCTGCCTCCCTTTCTTCCCCGCCTCACTGGTGCCGGCCGCTGAGGGAGCAAGAGGTGTTTCACTGCTATAGAGAGCCCCCTCACCGAGGGTGTTACAGGTGTCATCTTCTTGAAATGCCTAGAGTGTCTTATGCCCCTGCTAGACAATGGGAGAAGACTAAGCTGAGATACCTGGGCACTGTCATCCTTTGGATATAAGCAATAAAAGAATTAACTCACAGGTTGGTGCTCAGCTGCCTGCTTGCCTTCAGCTGCTGTGGTCAGGGAAAGCCTTCTGTGCTGCCTCACCTTCCTCCAGGGCAGCTGCGCTGCTATGCAAGGGAGTGGTCAGGAAATGGCATGTACAGACTGTGCTGGTGTGTGTGATTGGCACTGGCCAGCTGTGGTTAACAACTGCTGTTCTCCAAATATTTCTAGTTCTGGGAGGTCATCAGCGATGAGCATGGCATTGATCCCACAGGCAGCTATCATGGGGACAGTGACCTGCAGCTGGAAAGGATCAATGTCTACTACAATGAAGCTGCTGGTAAGTGTGTCTGCTTCATCAGATGCCTTTAAATAAACGGGGCAGACATGCCAGCTCACTAAGGCTGGAAAAATCCCTGAAAAAGAGCTGTCACCTGCCAGTGACTCCTCTAAGAGAGCTTTGTTCTCAGAATGGCTCTGATAACACAGTAGTCTTGATCTAGACAGTGTGTCTCCAGTAAAATGCAGGGAAGTGGAATGGAGCACAGCAGGGGTCCTGTGACACTGGCTGTCAACTGTAGGGCTCATGCTGGTGCTGGTTTCTCCTGCAGGTAACAAATACGTCCCCCGTGCCATCCTGGTGGACCTGGAGCCTGGCACAATGGACTCTGTGCGCTCTGGCCCCTTTGGACAGATCTTCCGGCCTGACAACTTTGTCTTTGGTGAGTGAGTGTGGGATGGAGGAGTCCCAGACTGGGAGCTCTGTGCACAGAAAGGACTTGGAGCAAGCATGCAGATGACCCTGGGAGACCTGAATGCCAGTAGCACGATGGGGATGAAGGTGAGGGGTGCAGGCTGTGGGGCAGGAGAGGTGACATCATCTCTGTTCCTGCTTGGGGGCCTACTAACGGAGCACCTTGCTTCTGGTGTGCCCCGCAGGTCAGAGCGGGGCTGGCAACAACTGGGCCAAGGGGCACTACACGGAAGGCGCTGAGCTGGTGGACTCTGTCCTGGATGTGGTGAGGAAGGAGTCGGAGAGCTGCGACTGCCTGCAGGGCTTCCAGCTGACCCACTCGCTGGGTGGTGGCACGGGCTCTGGGATGGGCACCCTGCTCATCAGCAAGATCCGTGAGGAGTACCCCGACCGCATCATGAACACCTTCAGCGTCATGCCCTCTCCCAAGGTGTCGGACACGGTGGTGGAGCCCTACAATGCCACCCTCTCTGTGCACCAGCTGGTGGAGAACACGGACGAGACCTACTGCATCGACAACGAGGCCCTGTACGACATCTGCTTCCGCACCCTGAAGCTGACCACCCCGACGTACGGGGACCTCAACCACCTGGTGTCGGCCACCATGAGCGGCGTGACCACCTGCCTCCGCTTCCCCGGCCAGCTGAACGCCGACCTGCGCAAGCTGGCGGTCAACATGGTGCCTTTCCCGCGGCTGCACTTCTTCATGCCGGGCTTCGCGCCGCTCACCAGCCGCGGCAGCCAGCAGTACCGAGCCCTGACGGTGCCCGAGCTCACCCAGCAGATGTTCGACTCCAAGAACATGATGGCCGCCTGCGACCCACGCCACGGCCGCTACCTGACGGTGGCCGCCATCTTCCGGGGCCGCATGTCCATGAAGGAGGTGGATGAGCAGATGCTCAACGTGCAGAACAAGAACAGCAGCTACTTTGTGGAGTGGATCCCCAACAACGTGAAGACGGCCGTCTGCGACATCCCCCCGCGTGGCCTCAAGATGTCCGCCACCTTCATTGGCAACAGCACGGCTATCCAGGAGCTCTTCAAGAGGATCTCGGAGCAGTTCACGGCCATGTTCCGGCGCAAGGCTTTCTTGCACTGGTACACCGGTGAGGGCATGGATGAGATGGAGTTCACGGAGGCAGAGAGCAACATGAATGACCTGGTCTCCGAATACCAGCAGTACCAGGATGCCACTGCTGATGAGCAGGGAGAATTTGAAGAGGAGGGAGAGGAGGATGAGGCTTAAGTCCTGTAGTATTCAAAGAACTTCTCTAAAGCAGGCATGTGTACTAAGCGACTTCTTTCTGGTAGTGGTGGTGAAGCATGCTCTCTAGAAACAGTGTACCCAATTATCCCCTCAGTTCTTGTAACTTTGACAAATTTCTCCATGTCACAACTCTGAATCCCAGTTATTACAATGTTCTTCCCCTTTAATGTTAAGAGCACATAAAGGCATGTATTCTAGATAATGTTTTCTGTCTTTCTTAACATAAGTTTAAAAACATGTCAAATCTTGCAGCACAGTGGTGCACGCTGATCTACTGAGAGGCTTACATTTTATCAAAATTATGGTTTTCATGCAAATATCTTTCACATTTTTTTAATTACAGGATTCAAGCCTTCCTGTAACTTGAATGAAAATTGAAAGCCTACTAGAATTCCCAAACAAAGCAAAAAGAAACACCTCCAGGTTGTTTCCTACTCTTTTCAGCGTAGGAAGTCTTCCACCTCTCTGTTGAAGTCCTCTGCAAAACGCAGGTGTAGATTATGCTTTCCTTCTGGCATCAGAAGCAGCCTTAAAAGAGAAAATCAGACACTGAATATATGTTTTATTCTGTGAGCATAGGTAATTATAATATTTGTTGCCTTTTCCTTGCTCTTGTTTACCCAAGTACAGAACTGAAGTAACTCTTCAGTATTGTCCGTATGTGTTTCAGAATATGAATCACAGCAACAGTTGAAGCAAAAAGGACATACTACTCGCCCCACTTTGGGGCGGATAAACTAAGCTTAAAACCGATTTTTGTGTCCCAGTCCTAGTTTCTAGGAACCTTTCTGAAGGTCAGCAAAGAAGATAAGATTCCAAAAGTTATGCGAGCAGGATGCATCTTCAAAAGGTATGTGAAGTACCTGAGTTCTTTCCTCTTTTGGAGAAGAGGGGTTATGCTGGGCAGTGAATGCATTGAAGAGATCGCTACAGAAATTTAGATTTCACGTCACCACAGAAACTAAATTAGCATTTGAACTTTGTGTAATATGTCTGCAAAAAAAAAACAAAACAAACCAATCTAAAACTAACACATTCAGCCATTAAAGTAAAAAGGGAAGTTGGGATTTCTTACTTCTAAACTTTTGTTATAGCTATCTGTGAAGAAGGCTAAATCTTTGTAATACTGATACAAGTGTGACATGCCTAAAATGCTACTTGCCATTGCCTCCCATCTGGGAAAAACTTTACACAGCAGGTATGTACCTCTGCCATTTCTTCACGTGTGTGGGAAAGAAATTATTTGATCTTTTTGCATACTAAGCAATTTCAACAGAGCTAAAGCCATCTTGATTGGTACTTTACTGTGTTGTCTTCATGTCATCTAAGCCCCACTATAGCAAGGGGTATCTTTGTTCTTATCATAGAATCATAAAATGGTTTGGGTTGCAAAGAACCTTAAGGTCATCTAGTTCCAACCCCCTGCCATGGGCAGGGATGCCTCACCCTAAACCAGGTTGCTCAAAGCCCCATCCAACACTGCCAGGGATGGAGCACTACCCACTTTTATGTGCAGCCTCTTCCAGTACCTCACCATCCTCATAATAAATAATTTATTATATCTAACCTAAATCTCCCCTGTTGGTGGTGACCAGTTTTGTTTTGTCTTATGGAAAAGAACAATAGTGTGTGAACATGTCCAGCTCTTCTAGTACTTCTGTCTGCACTACATTGTCTGCTTCTTCAAAGACCAAGCAGCATGGAGGTGCACAAACCTATAGCAGTATGTATGCTATTTGCTACTGCTGTTAAGCCACTGCAATGCGATTCAACTCTAGCCATGCAAATACAGAATCATGGCTTACTCTTGCCATGAGAGAAATAAGCAATGTTTTGCACTACAATTGTCAGAAGCCGTTTCTACTTTACTGCTAGATACAAATAAAAGCAAGAAAAGCTTGCTTTCTTTTTTCATGGTAAAAGCATGTGTTAATGAAAATATGTTAAATTTAAGGTTTCCCTTCTGCTTTATAATAGACCATGTCATTTCCAGTGCAACAAGAGAAGAATGGGACCGTGTACCTCAGTATTAATTTCTGAGAACAAAATTAGTCTGATTTCTGAAAAATAGAGGGGAACACTTCAGCACAAAGACATGCAAAGAATCAATTTACATTTTATTGGATACCAACTTCTAACAGTTTTCTCCTTGGTTTGTCTTCCAAATAGAAGCTATTAGATCACTGCCTACTTTTTTTTTTTTACTTCCCTTAGCCTCTGGAGCATTTCAGAGCTCAGTGAGACCTAACAGGATTATAGGAGCTCTGATCAGGGCATGTGGGAGTAATTAACTAGCAGACATGCCATAAAACACCTGTATGTGATCACCAGAAAGATCTCTTGTTCTCATCTTCCCTGTGGTGTAATGCATTTTTATGAGCAGTGGGGCTGACTTAGAGGAAAACATACAACTCATTTTTTCACTCAAAATTCCTAGGACAGTTGGAAAAAAACAACTTTTGAGGTGGTTGTTCACATCAACAAGGCAGAACAAATATCAGTATTCTCTGCTTCCCTCCAGTAACTGAGAGTCTCTCTCCATTCACAGCGTTTAAGTTCATTGGTCTACTGATAGGGACAGAAACAAGGTCTCTTGCAGCAAAAGGAATGCAATGGCCCTAACAGAAACAGAAGAACTTTGCTTTTTTCAACAAATGCTAGGGACTGGTTCTGCATGTGAAGTGGCAAGAGGAAAAAGATCTTGCTTGATTTCTCCTGGAGGACTTTAAGAAGGAGCTTATTCAAATATTACACTTTCTATATTGTAAGAAAAGTCCAGCTACATTCTTTGCATTGTAACTTTATAGGGAAGTCTAGAATAGCTCTGTTTATGGCAGAGACAACTTGTTCAAATACTTTATTTTGTTTTACACTGTGGGTTTGAACCGCTTCATTTCTTCAACAACGGCTTATAACTACCATATAACTTACCGAGAGCCTTTGACGTGCTTATGAATGTATTCTGCATGAGCTTGTGGAACCAAACAGTCTTTCTCACCATGAATTATAAATGTGGGACATTTAATATCTGGCAGCAACTCTTGGCAGATATTACCTAAGGTGAAAACAAATGAAAATCACGCTTTGTTTTAAAATAGTACGAAAGGCTGAAACTGCTTCTGTAAAGGACTGTGAATTTCACTGGGTTCTAGCTATTGCCCCTCTTTATGGCTAGCATGCAGTGAATTTATAGAACTATGTAATCAGGACTATAATTAATGTTTCTTTCTCCAAAATGTTACTTCACTCGAAATTGTTTCATTAATGGTTGCCAGCACAAATGGCTAGATAGAATGAAGCAGTGCTCTCCCACATTCCCCCCAGGCTGCCTTTGGCTGTTCAAAGCAAATACATGCATCTCTCTCCTGGCTTTGTTCTTTTCAGCCTTAGAGTCCCACTGCGTTCATGTTAATGCTACATTTTGTTACATTGGCTATCAGGTTACAACCTTTGCTACTTTTACCAACAAATTACCTTAGGTTGTATTCATGCTTATGCTGTTGTATTCTAGACCCCTAGCTGTCTGCAATGAATAACCATTTAATACAGATTGTACTAAAACTATTCAAAGATTATTCTCCCTGCCCATTCACCTTACAGAACCTCAATGCTTTCTTTAATCTCATGAGAAGTAACTTATATTCTTAAAGACTTCTATTTTCCTTTCTTTTTTCCTCGTTAGTAATCTAGTTCCCAAACTGCCTCGCTTTCCATGCTCTCACAAGAGAATCTTTGGTCAAAACAAACTCAATGAGTTTTATGTTCCATTTATCTTTGTGTTAACTTTGTGCTATTTGTAGTTGTCTCCTTGCAGCTACCAACAGTTTACAGTTAATGCTCATATATGCTACACTTCCCTTAGCTCTAAAGTCATATACTGTTCCACAATTTTCCCAATTGTTTGGTTATTTATATAGTCTTGCAGTTCTACTGGTTACATACAGTTCTAAAACATCTACACAAATGTTGACTATTTTTCAGAACATGTAACAAATAACTTTAGGATATTTACCCAAGGACAGAGTTGGTAGTCAAATTATTATTTCCCAGTTTCCAGTCCTGAAACTGTTTTGTACTATAACCACTAGATTATATTTACTCCAAAACCATAGAAAAGCGAGAAGAATCTTGAATTTTGCAGCTTTATGCAACTTAGTTTTATTAAGTGTAGCACCTTCTAAAAGTTCATCTCTTATGGCATTTCACACTGAAAGCTCTCCTTTTTAGGGTGAATAGTCTATTTCTCAAAAAGAAGTCAAGTTGAGTTTTTGACCAACAAAGGTTTTGCTGCCCTCCTTTTCTTTCTGATGGGCTTTACTAACCCCTTTGCTTGTATTTGCCACATCTGCACCTTTTGTGCAGCATGTCTTTAATTCCAGGGAGGCTTGCTTGTAGTCTAAAGTTGCCCTCCCCAAGCTATGTCTGGAAAAGAACACGTAGCCTGATAATCACTCATCTTTTTAGCAAATGCTATAGACTTCTCCCAATATCTGACCCAGTTACAGTATCTAGGTAATTCAGGTTCTTGTTACATGCTTCCAGGTGGCTTGTTTTCCACAGTCACCTCCATCTCAAGAGTGTCTGAAGTATGTGCAGACAGTAGAAAGATATCACAGCCAGGGTTTCACCAGCCTGGGCTTTGGACTTAAAAATAAACTAGTTTTAAGGAGATGTATTCTAGAAAGGGTAAAACAAAATCCGATCCTAATTTGTTACATCACTCTACTGGGAGAAATTCTAATACCATGTTGCTGATCCCATACAAAACTTTTTGGAAAAAAAAAAAGAATCAAAGGAATGTTTTCCCTGTAGTACCTGCTGTTAACATATGTCACCTTCTGTCTTTCATTCTGAGAGCTAAGGGAAAACGTGTATAAGAGAATTACAGGCTCCTTGTTTTATGTATTGGGTACATTATGTATTTTTGCTTTAGGCAAATTAAAAGCATTTTTCCTCTGAATTAAAACAGAACAGCAGGTTATTATTCACGATATCCTTGGCTGCAAAAGTCTATGTAGAATAATTGCAGAAATCTTCAAAGATAAACATTTAATAATTGGCTAGTTTAACTACTCTTTTTTTAATTTTTATTTTTAAACACCTAAGTTGTGTAAATATTGGGTTTTGAAATTGTTCTGTTAATCTTGAGTTCCCCAAATCTGAACTTCCTTCTTTTTTAACTTGTATACACTAGGTTTGAAATTGTGCTTCAGCTCCTGTTTGCAGAAACTGGAGTGAACACATCTCTCTTTGGGGATACTTAACATTGTCACTAAGAGCTGATCCTTTGACACTGAGAGAGGAGAAAAAAGCTTGAGCAGAATCCCTCCTGTTCAGTCTGTACAAAAGCAATGATTTAATAATGTTGTTTTGTGATGGTAGAAGAGGAGAGACTCATCAGCTAATGCTTCCTATAAATTGTTTTCCTCCCGTACCTTGCTGGTTCTGTGAACAATCTACAAAATAACTGCTTTATTTATGAGTGTGAGTCAGACCCAGCTTTTAATGCCGTATTCAGAGTCCTTCTTTTACTGGCTGCTAGGAGTACTGTTAGTTTTTTTCATCCAGAACTGGCTGCTACTATAATTGCTTCAGTTTAGCGTTGTAAAAGCCTTACCATCTGTATTTTCAGCAAAGCGAGATATTCCATCTACCCAAGCCTCGCAGGTTTTTGCTAAGTACTTATGCCCATACATCTCTTCCAGGGGTTTCTTGACCTTTTCACTCCATTTTGAAACATCTCTGATGCCTGCATAAAATAACATTGAAATATGTTAAGTCCTTCCCAGCAAGAAGGTGTAACCCAATACTGATACGAGTAAATTTTTGAACTAAATTGCAGATGTGTATTTCAAACTAGAAACTGTACTGAATGGTTTTGAATAGTTCATAGTACAGAAAATAAAGTAGTTTTACAATCTCTGTTGGAGTATTTCTGAGTTGCAGAAGAGCCTCTTGTTATTACAAGGTTACAAGGAACAACAGAAAAAAAAACCCATGCTCAATAATCAAAGGACTCTGTCCTAGAACTTAGAATCATAGAATCATAGAATCATAGAATCATAGAATAGTTAGGGTTGGAAAGGACCTTAAGATCATCTAGTTCCAACCCCCCTGCCATGGGCAGGGACACCTCACACTAAACCATATCACCCAAGGCCTCATCCAACCTGGTCTTGAACACTGCCAGGGATGGAGCATTTCTTTTTGGAAGGCTTGCAGAAAAGGAGTTTAAGGAGGTACTTTTGTATAAGACGGGGTCTGTTTTACAACTGTGTGCCAGAGCTGGCAATTCATTTTTATATCCTTCAGCCTTTTTCTTTGGCTCATGGATGGAATTTCTTCCATAGCTTCTACCAATATTCAGATATTCAGAGGAAGAAAGCTCTTACTAACACATTCCAGCAGGATGACATCATGGTACATTTGCCATAGTCTTACAGGAAAACAAGCAACTCAGAGTCCTGTGACTCATGGCAGGCTGGCTAAAGCTGTACAAATAATCTGACATTCTAGGTATTTATTTATCAGATTTACTAAACTTTTCCCCTCAGAAGTTCAGTACTGCTCACAAACCAGATACCCACAAGGCTGACTTTCACTGAACCATACTTCAGCTGTACAAGTCTCTATTGATAAAGCCCAAAATAACGTTGGCATAGCAGAGAACCTGAAAGAGACCTGAGTACTAGGTTGTCAAACTGCAATATACGCCACTAGATGAGCTTTTAATTGGTTTCAAATGGGAATTAAGGGAAGAAAGGAGTGAGATGTTAATTACCGAGCGCAACTTGCTCAGCCAAATGAGCAAGGTAGCAGTGACTGGAAGTGTTTTTAACAGCATCTGATCGGAAATGAGTTTGCTCACCCCAGGCAACCTGTTACTGAACAGCTGTTTCTCTTCTAGAAACTGCAGTTTTATCTTTGTGGCTAGCCTTAATTTAAAAAGGGGAGGGGGTTGGGGAAGCCAATATTGAAAGGACACAGGCTACCAAACAAATACCTTTCTCTGCTACCATGCAACTGAGGTGCACTGATGGGCCAGCTGTAGAAGGTTTGTGCTGGTACTCTCTGAACGCCATCACACACAGAGAGATATTGAAAGCAACAGTCCATGAAGAGGCCAAAGGTCAGCACTGCTGTAGGTGCTCCATGTAAAGTAAGACTTCTTTTTTTATTTCTTTTTTTTTTGTTTGTTTGGAGGGGGGTGTGATTGGTTTGGTTTGGTTTTTTACATTTTAGCCTATTGGCTAATACTAACTGATATGCATTTTATAATTATATAAATATAAAAGCATCTAAAGAAATAAAGCAGCACTTTTACAGAACTAAAAATAACTTTTTTTACTGAACTAAAAAGTATACTACTACCACTGAAAGTGCTTTAGTATAGGTAAGTACACCTGTGCAATACGTATTTATACTTGTAATTTGCTGAAGCCAGCCAGCTAGATTTCACAACTGGTATAAATCAAGTTCCAATCACTAAAATTAAACTATACTAGGTGATTTTTGTTGAGAGCGTGCATAGTTAACTCTTAATTCCTAATTGCAAAAGGAAATATGGTCCCTTTCTGAGTTCACTAGCAGTTTTTGCTATTTTCCTTTAGAGTGCCAAGTGATCTGATTCTATTTCATATAAGTAGAACAAGTATCAGAAATCCCATGTTTTTTCACTTTGGAAAGGTTTTGTAACCACAATAATTAACTTCAAAGGAATGCAAATTAGAAAGGCATCCTGGGACATTTTGAATGATTCATTTGCTTCCTGTACTCAAATGGTATGAGCTTGTTTTCTTACTGCTCTTGTATTATATAGGCCCTAGAGGCAAAAGCTGTTATGTGCTAGCCCAGTGATTTTCTGTGGACCTTGTCTGAAGGTTGTGCAAGATGTGAGAAAAGAAACTAAGCCTAGGGTCAATAATATTATTAGGTATTTAGTTTTAGGAATTTGTTACAGCAATAAAAATTTGATTTGCTGAAAATGACTGATAAGCTATTATGCTTTTTCAGTAGTGTAAGTTAGGAAAGACTTGTTACAAATTCTATTATATTACCACTAGAGTAATTGTTAGGGAGTTTCTCACTAACACTTTCATCTATCCCTATACTTAGCTACTTAGTGAATTTTGTGTCTTGTTTCTTTAGTTTTATTGTGTCCTCCACTCTGTAGCCACTTAGTTATTACATGACTAAGATTCCTAGGTCAAGAAGAAATGAAAACAATTTATTTAGGATACGATATTCAGTTTGTACGTACCATTATAAATTCTCACATCCTCTTGAGTAACGCTGACATTTGCTCCCCAGACAACCAGCTTGTGGATAAGAGTTGGATACTTTGCAGCTGCAATGAGTGCTGTAATTCCACCATCACTCCACCCCAGCAAAGAGAACTTCTTAAATTTCAATGCCTTGATTTGTATAAGAAAATTATATGCAAATCATCAGCTGGTTTTATAAGCAAGTATCAAATAATTCTTGAAAATTAACTGTACAGATTTCGACACAACACTACATAGCTAATCTATAGTTAACTTTCATCATCAGAACAAATACACTTCCTTCTACACAAAAATACTTAAGAAAAGGTCAAATATTTAGACAACAAGAAACTATACCTGCCCTTCCAATTTTCCACAGCTAGTTACAGAAACAGGCAGTAGCCATATTAGATTCTTGCTGCATTTAAAAAAGGTCTCTTGAAATAAAGAAATACCTATTTACAACCAAAAGTAAAGACATTTTCAGAGAGCCTGATGGTATCTGTGGATTCTCTTAATATAAAGCAGGCAAAAACTATCACAGTGTGGGATGGTAGGTAATCCAAGACCCAGATGAATTCAAGAAAAAGACAAGTTTACGATTGATTTATTTTATTTATTAATTTATCAGTCTGTTCTGTAACAACAACAACAAAATGTAAAATATTTGCTACTGGATTGTATCAAGTTTTAGTCCCCGATTCACGTTTTCTGAAGCCTTTAAGTGTACATTTTAGCAGTTACTTCATGCTGAATTGCAATTCAAAACATTAATAATGAAATCCCTCCTCCTCAAAAAGGAAGACTTAGGGCAAAAAATATGACAAGCAAGACCTTAATTCATTCTGACTTGTACAATGCTTTCCACTAGAATTTGAAACCCTTGTTTCCTCATATACCGCAATCTGCGGTAGGGAAGACCAGCTGGTGACTCAAGAGAGGATTTTGTGTGTGTGACATTCATAGAATTATAGAATCGTTAGGGTTGGAAAGGACCTTAAGATCATCTGGTTCCAAACCCCCTGCCATGGGCAGGGACACCTCATACTAAACCATCTCATCCAAGGCCTCGTCCAACCTGGCCTTGAGCACCGCCAGGGATGGAGCATTCACAACCTCCCTGGGCAACCTATTCCAGTGCCTCACCAACCTCACAGTAGAGAACTTCTTCCTTGTATCTAACCTAAACTTCCCCTGTTCAAGTTTGAGCTCATTACCCCTTGTCTTATCACTACAGTCCCTGTGGCAAAGTCCCTCTCCAGCATCCCTATAGGCCCCCTTCAGATACTGGAAGGCTGCTATGAGGTTTCCATGCAGCCTTCTCTTCTCCAGGCTGAACAGCCCCAGTCTATCTTCATACGGGAGGTGCTCCAGTCCCCTGATCATCCTTGTGGCCTTTCTCTGGACTTGTTCCAACAGTTCCATGTCCTTTTGATGTTGAGGACACCAGCACTGCACACAGTACTCCAGGTTCAGTGGGCTAAGAGTGGGGAAGGTAAATGCACTCGGGAGCAAATGCATCTGAAGGTTGTGCAGGGGTGATACTCAATGGTTAAGCAGTATTTGCAGTTTTGTATATAGAAGACTCAGCTTGTGAACACTTGCAAACAAACACAAAAGTTTCAAAGGAGGTGTATGTTTTGTTTGTTGGGGTGGGGGTGTCAGAAATTACAGCTTTTTAGATGTGATTAAGGGAGATAGATACACTTTCAGAGGAAAGAAAAAGCAAGTGAATTGGATGAGTTGTGCTGGTGCTCAGTGTTTTGCTGTTGTAAGTACAGGCCTGGTTTTGTTTTGTTTTGTTTTTTTGTTTTTGACAGAAGAAAACAAAAAGGCAGGCAATGAGAGAAACAACTACAAAGAGAGAAAAAGCAGATTCTAGTCTGCTTGTAAACTTAACACTCAAGTGAGGCATAACCTTATCAGTCAGCTTGATACCTAGCAAACTTTTATCACTACAAGGCTTTTCTGGTTTTGGCTTCTTCCTTGGTTAGGTTTACTGTAGCATCGTGCAATATTAGGTTTCACTCTACTAAGCTGTAATTACTGAACAGAAAAGAAATATGGTACGGGAAAGAAAAGGATATGTAACGTAAGAGCTGACGGCAAGAAAATAAAAACTTGATTTTCAGCAGTTGAAAAAGTAGACTTTGTGACCCACTTTCACTACCATGCTGCTGAAGGGTTACTAGTGTCTAGGCAAGTTTCACGAGTTGGCAGGAGTGCTTGTAAAGCTGAAGTATTTGCTGTTGCTGCTGCTGTTCCCCTACCACCAATAGCAAATTATGGATCTCTGTGCTGGCTGATGGGTGGAATAGCTGATTAAAACCGTTGCTCCTCATGCCAGGGTTTTTGCCAGTGCTTCAGCTGAAATACATTTACCTCTAGTATTTCTCTTGTTTACTAGGCATTATCTTGATGTATTCTTTGGGTTCTCAGGATGCCTTTCCAGCAGGAGGAATTTAATCTATCCTTTGCAGCTTTCCAAAAAAACCCTGTGATGTAATAGATGTGTCGGATATGGTATGCATGTTTGCTTGCTTTGATCTGGAGGTCCTTACAGTACAGGCCTCTACCTAACACTGGCAACAACCTGACAGCTGGTTGTACAGCTGAATCTGTGGGTGATTTTGTGCTGGCTTTCCCCTGTAAGTGAGCAAAATCTCTTTTGAAATCACATGCTCCATTCAGACCTATGTGAAATGCAATCAAGCAATCACACGTGCTGTGACAAGTAACTTACAACAGTGAGTTGCAATAAAACAGTGCTCTGCACTGTGTGCTTTCATTAGATCACAGGGAGTATATCGCAAGTAAGGGTTGCAGTTGGTTTACCAAAACTTAGAGAAGTCCAAGCTCATCCTTTCACTAGGACAGTAGGGCTGAAGAGTAAGAACTTTTAAAATATCAACACTAATTATTTCCATAATAATTGGTTTAATGGTATTTGCCTTTGCTAGCATTAGGCATTTGGAGTGGAGCAAAGCGGACTTATTTCGATTATACTCCTTTTATTTCATGCAAACTCCTTCACAGAATGCATACATTGGTACAGAGCAGTGCCATATGCATCAAAGTGCTGAACACTCTGAAAAATTTCATCTTTCTGTTACTTTACAGAAACCTTGCAGGACTCACTCCTAGAGCAGAGGCATCAGAATCTGAAGAAGCCTAGAATAAGGGTTCTGAAGGCCCACCTATATGGACGGGTTTTTTGCTAAGTGTAGGCCAGATAATGTATCTAAACCATAAGCCCTCTGAAGAAGTTATGACTTTGTTTTATTCTCCAAATCCTAATTGGGATAATTCCTTGAGATTTGTGCTATCCTTCATGTTACACTAAAATAGAAGCAAGTTACCCATGCTTGGGAAGATTTTAATAATTTGTTATTATATGCTTATATCAATAAACATCTTCAAAAAAGCAGGATGTTTTGTCTTATTTGTTTAGGCAGCTTTAGAGATTGGTAGGCTGTTGTCTTGTTTAACTGGAAGCTACATGCTTACATTCTCTTTGGGCACAGATCTGTTTTCTATTTTGCATTTATTAATATTTGAACAGAGGCAGGAAAGGGGGTTACAACCATTTAGACTGAAAGTTTGTCACCTATCCATGGCAGCATTGTTATTTTCTTTGTTACTGTAGCAGAAGAAATCGGTGCATTACGGTGCAGAGATTGCATTTATGGTTAGAGGGCAAAACTGTGTCTTAATCCCGAGTCTGCTGTCAGACTTACTTTCTTTCACTACGTGTAATACTCCAGGAAGGCTGTGTTTCCAGTTTCAGATGGGTTTCTGCAGGGTTACTGCTTATTACAGAAATACAGTTGGAGTGTCTGAATCTTGTCTCATATTTCTGGAATTTTAATGGTCTACCAACTCTCTTAACTCCAAAAAGACTGTATAGCTTAATGTAACAAAGCCAAAATATTAGTTAAAACTAAACCAGAAAAAAGTGTCAGCACTTACATAAATAATAATAATAAAAGAGGAACAGAGAAATAAGAATAAAAAAGGAAAAGAGAAACACACAGATTTGAAATAAAGAATTCTGCAAGACAGAGAAGTAATAATAGCTTTGGGTCATATCCTTTCTAATCACAATAGCTGTATTAGTTACTAAGGTGTGGTATGGTCACAGGGGCCCTTTTATTTCTCACAAAAGTTATTTTGGTAACATGCTGTAAAATGCAAAGTGTCAAGTTAATGTTTAGAATAAAATGTCTCTCAAAATGGGCTGCTCAAGGCAAAATGCCAAGATTCTATCCTCTAGAAATTTTTCTAAAAGCCTTACACTATTCTAATCCCTTCAGCTAAAGCCACTTAGCATGGACTTTGTTTTTTATACACACTTTACCTAAACTTACATGGTTCTTGGCTGCGAACCTCTTAGGACAGGTCTTGGAATAAAAACATATTGTTTTATAATTTATTCCCACTGCTGAACCTCTATGTATACTGCAGAAGAAATGGAAGAAGAAAATATTTTCTAGAATAGTGTGCATCTGCTCAGTTTTAAGCCTTCATTTGTGTGCTCTTTTGCATAACTTTGCTAGAAACAACCAGCTTAACAGTACTCTTCTCCTCTAAATTTAAAGAAAATAGCTTTAAAACCCAAATATATATATAAAATAATAAAATCTGAGAATATATTTACCTGCATAAGATCCACAGCATCTTTTGCATCCCTCTCAAAGAAATCCGGAGGAAAGTCTCGTGATGGTGGAATGGACTGTCCATATCCTCGAGGATCCCAAGCAACAATTGTGAAAAGTTGCTTATTCATGGACTTAAGTTGTGGTCCAAAATCAGTTTGACTACTCCCTGAAACATATAATTTTTCTGTTATAGTAACCACTATAATACATGGTAGACATACTCTAAATGAAAACCTGCAGAAACTTGTGTCTTAATTCGAAGAAAGAGATTATCTATCAGCTGAAGTATACTGTATCTCTAATTGTAACCACTGCAAATCTCAGACAGGTAGTACCATAATAAAAATCTTTAGAACTATCTGTGGTATGCATAGAGCAAATAATTTCAGGTAGGTATGTAAGCTTACAAAAAACTAGGTTCTACAAATACGCTTTAATACAGAATCTTAAAATGCGTTACCTGGATATGGGTTTATCTTTAACAGATTTAAAGCAGTAGCACAATGGCCATTGCTGTTTACCTGGACAGCACAGGTGAAACATGAAAGTGGAAGAATATACTGACTAGCAACAAATTTGTAAGTGAAAAAGCACAGTGTGAGACAGTTGTTCTTACTCAATAGACACTCCTGTGAGAATACTGGCGCTTAAAGCTGAGCTTTAAATGATTTGTTGCCCGAGGAGACAGTGTTGACACAAAAGCATAAAACTAACTTTTGATTTTCTAACATGTATATTACCAAATTATGCCAAATACAGCCAATTTTCTGATGCAGAACAGTTCCTTTTATTGGTGGCTCAGATCTTGAAAGAACTGAAAAAATAACATACTCTAGTCTATTGCACTAAGTTATCTTTGAATGATAGCTTAGCATGAAGAAGGTAAGACTGCAATTTCTTATTTGCATTATGGACATGTGGTAACAGTATCACATGCCACTTGATTAGAACCTATTCGGATCTAATACATTCAAATGATGTAAATAAAATATCGCATTGGTTATCTATTATTACATTAAAAAGGCCTTTTAAGGGCATTTAGGGTTTGTTTGTTTACTTGGAGAAATGTTCTTGGATACCTCCTCCTCACCATCAACAGGTCTAAATGATAAAAGAGGCTGTGTATAGAACGCTGTGTGAGCTGACTACAAGCCTGGCATGATCTCTTGCAACACCAATTAATAGCAAGCCAGAAGCAAAATATCAGGTTGTTTGAAAAATACCAATGCAATCTTACTAATATGAATCACGTATTTTTACACAGGCTTTGTATGAACTTCTGCACTAGCATGCACATGCTTGTTATGCTGTATTCTGTAACTTAAAACACAAGGCTGAGAGTAGATCAGAATGCTGTTTTCTTAGTTTTTTTTCTATCTAGAAAGAGAAACATCACTTTTGTTTTAATGTAGCTTACAAACAGTCTAGAGACTAATTAGTTCTGTTGACCTAAAAGCATTTATTTTGTTACCAACATACTTACTAGTCTGTTAATACTGTAAACAGTAGAAAATAATATAGAAAACTCAGTACAAAGGGGGAAGTATGTGACAATCAGAATGTAAAGCTCACCCTCAATCTGCAAGACCACTACACCATAAAATGAATAATGGTAAAGATACTAAGCCTATTACTGTTTGTAATAGTGTTAACTGCATAATAGCAATGTGCACCTAATAACATTACTTGCAACTGAAGAAATACACTGTTAGTATTTAAAGAGTTAGCATTGGCAACAGAATTACCAGTTTAAAAAGCTATTTAAAATGGAGAGGTTAAAATATATTATTACTAATGCACCCCATTAACTTCCTTCCACCCTGTGCTTGAGAAATCTTTGAAAGAAAGAACCACTTGAAAATGTTGCTGCCAAGAACAACAAATGTTTCTTGCTCTTCAGTTCTTGACATTCTACCATTTTGATCCAGCAATTCAGTTAAGTATAAACCCTAGTCTGAGCATGGTTCTATGGACAGCCTGCCACAAACAGTTAGTAAGTCTGATTGTTCTTTAGAACTGCAGGAAACCAGAAAAAAAAAAAAAAAAAAAAAAAAGAAGTGCCTCTGTTAATTTTAAAAGATTGTTATCAAAAGCAGTGGTCTCGATGGACAGATACAACTTAGTTAGCAGAACCTGTTGTCCATGTCAAAAAGCCATTGAGAATCTTAATGATGTTGCCCTGAATAATTAAAACATGAAAATATGTTTTTAATCAAAAAGTCAGTCTCAACTGTGCCTCTTTCACTATGATAATAATCTGCAAGTGCTGCATTATATCTATTACCTGAATTGGAATGCACCTAATTTCTAAGAAGGAATGCATAATTCAGTCTGTGTAACAAATATAGCTGACCTGATTTCCCCCACTCTGTTATTTTGCACCTGTACTTTGTGCATTTTAGCGATTTGCCACCTGTGCTGGACACCCCCTTTGCACAGTTAAATCCAAAAGTACAAGTGACTACTACACCAGTCAAGACATTGTATAAAAGGTGGCTGGTGAGACAAATGAAATCTTTAAAAACTGTAAACTGACCATAACAACTCCACCTTTTCCTATCTATTGCATGTGTAGAATTTTTTTTTTAATGACAATGCTCCATAATCAGGTGTTGAACATATTATAAAATAGTTTTGTGCATTCTAGTTTGAGACCGGATGGAGAAGGAGGTGTTTGCTCTACAAAGATAAGACAAAATCTCCAGACCTAGCATTCCGGGAAGCAGAAGAACTGCATGGCTTCCTTCTCCTGTCTGCTGATAATGCAGGTGGACTCCATTCACTTGGACTTTGGCAGATGTTATTGAAGTACTAGGGATGGGGGAAGGGGAGAGAAACAGGAAAACATAATAAGTTAATTCTCATTACTACATGGTCCTTCAAGGAACACAGAATAATTACTTTTTCTAAGTATTAACAACAACGCAGTGAGATTTAAATGGCCCATGTACCTTTCATGGGTGCACAGAAGACTAAATAAGTTACCAGGAGCAGAGAAGTACTCAGTTGTGACCACTGTGCTTGGGTTTCACGAATGTAGTTAAATTACTTTAAGGCGAGAAAAAAAAATCTTGACTGTGCAACAATGGGCATAGAAAAACAGCTTTACACAGCCACAGGAACATATTGAAAAAAATATACCAGAGAGGAGAAACCTCATTCTGTCACAGCATGGGGAAGACATTCAGAGCAGACCTGCAGAGAACGACTTGGGGGTGTTCTTGGGGGTGTTGGTTGATGAGAAAGTTAACATGAGCCAGCTTCAGTGTGCACTTGCAGCCCAGAAACCAACCATATCCTGGGCTGCATCAAAAGGAGCGTGACCAGCAAGCAGGTCGAAGGAGGTGATCCTGCCCCTCTACTCTCCTCTTGTGAGACCTCACCTGGAGTATTGTGTGCAGTTCTGGTGTCCTCAACATCAAAAGGACATGGAACTGTTGGAACAAGTCCAGAGGAGGGCCACGAGGATGATCAGGGGACTGGAGCTCCTCCTGTATGAAGACAGGCTGAGGAAGTTGGGGCTGTTCAGCCTGGAGAAGAGAAGGCTGCGTGGAGACCTCATAGCAGCCTTCCAGTATCTGAAGGGGGCCTGCAAGGATGCTGGAGAGGGACTTTCCCACAGGGACTGTAGTGACAGGACAAGGGGTAATGAGCTCAAACTTGAACAGGGGAAGTTTAGGTTAGATACAAGGAAGAAGTTCTCTACTGTGAGGTTGGTGAGGCACTGGAATGGGCTGTCCAGGGAAGCTGTGAATGCTCCATCCCTGGCAGTGTTCAAGGCCAGGTTGGACAAAGCCTCGGGTGAGATGGTTTAGTGTGAGGTGTCCCCGCCCATGGCAGGGGTTTGGAACCAGATGATCTTAAGGTCCTTTCCAACCCTAACTATTCTATGATTCTATAGCTTCTGAAACAAATGGTGTTCACGTTGTGGTGAGTTACTGGAGCAGGCTGCCTAGAGAAGCTGTGGCTGCCCCATCCCTGGTACTGTTCAAGGCCAGGTTGGACAGGGCTTTGAGCAACCTGGTCTAATGGAAGGTGTCCCTGCCCATTGCAGGGGGGTTGGAACTGGATGATCTTTAAGGTCCCTTCCAATCCAAACTATTCTATGAGTCTTTTGTTTTATCATTCATTTCGACACTTTTATTTGATCATAGTTCTCACCATAGCAAATGAGCACCTTGCTCTTCCTAAATTTTACAGAAATATGTGATTTTTTTTCTTCAGATAAATAATTGCCAAAACCTTTTCAAGTTCCTAACAAAACAGAAATAATCACCATCTTTCTACCTTTCTTAAAAAGTTACCAACATGCAGTTTCAACAGACAAGGGATATATATTCTGCTTTCCTGATTCAGAAGCTAGATTTTTTTTTTATACAGTTCTGCTTTTTTTTTTTTTAGGATTAATTATTAACATCAGATGCTTGAGAATTTTGCTGAGCTTGTGATGTTTTTTTTTTTATTCTAGGATTGTGCCTTAGTGTGAGGTTTAGTCCAGGAGTTTCACATAGAGAGTATTTTCAATACTTTCTGGACTAAGAACAAATGAGTTGGGTTTTTAAGTGCTGAGGAACTGTACTTGAAGTGGCTACACCTAAGGCAGATTCGGTCTTCAATACACCAAGTTTCTGTGAGTATGAAATCACTTCAGTAAGCTCAGTTAGCATGGTCACTTCTGTCAAGATTTTATAAAGACTGCATTTCCCATTGGTTGGCATAATCGGAAAACATGTTAAAACAAAACAAAATGATCCCCCCCCACACTATTTTGTAACTGAATTAGTAATGTTAATTTTTATAGCTCTTGAGAAGCACTGGATACATACTGCCTGTTTACCAAGACAGCACAGCCGCAGAGTAGGCAGCTCTTGTACTGCGCTTTGCCCTGGGAACTACCTTTCTGTTCCAGCTGTGCTACCATACAACCTAGTTTTTATCTGTGCGGTTAATGGGGGTGGGTGAAATACATGGTATTACGTCTGACTTTCCTCAATATGATTTGCAGAATAAGCAGTATTATATACATTACAAATGCGCATTCTTTTCGTTACCTCGGAGATGTCCAGCAAACGCCTTACGATGGCAGCGTTGCAAGGGGGAAACGGACTCGCAGAGGGGAGGGTGACAGGTAGTGACGAGAAGGGGTGGTGGAGCTTGTTAGCACAGCTCCTTGCAGCACAAGGGAAAGCAGAAGCAAGCACCTCAGAGCCACCATTTTGTCAACCGCCCCCCAATCTAGTGTACACCCCCCTCTGCTAAAACGCTGTTCGCAGACACACCGCGGTGACACCCACCCGGGCCTGTCAAATACCGCCTTCCCCAAGCGAGGGACGAGGGAGCCGGAAAAGGAAGGAAGGAAGGAAGGAAGAAAGAAGGCGCTGTGGTTTTTACCCGTAGCAGGCGGCCGGTCCCCGGGGCATGAGCGGCGCGGCCCGGGCGGGCAGCAGCAGCACCCGGAGGGCCCGACCTGCGCTCCGCCGAACCATTTTACCCACCGAGGCCGACCCCGCGGGGAGAGAAGAGAGAAAGGGAGGCGGGGCGGCCTCGGTGGGTAGAACCCGCCCCGCCTCCCTTTTTTTCTCCTGCCGCCGCCAGGCAGAGCAGCAGCCCAATCAGCTGCAGGCCGCGGCTGCAGTACGGCCCAGTGAGCACCTCCGTGGGAGGCAGAGTTCCACCTCGACACAGCTCCACCCGAGGTGTCCGCTGGGAGCGAAGATCCCTGCCGTGGGGGATGCAAGGGACCAAGTCTTGAGCACCTGCACCTCTGCCCATGAAGCAAGAAGCTCCGTAGGCTGTGAGAAAACAGAAGACATGGTGGTCATCTGTGACTCCAGGTCTGCCTGGAGAAAGGCTCCCTGGGGTAGTTGCATCAGTGAGGACAGCTCTGGGGACTTGCAGCTCCCATAAGGAGCATGCTAACCCCAGGCATTTAGCAGCAATCATTAACCCTGCCTCACCAATGGTGCTTTCAGGGCCTGCTGAGAGCACTAACCTCCTGGCTGAGGGCTTTGGCCTGGCAAGTGCCCATACTACATGGGGCCACCCACCTCTGGAGCAGCCTGACTGCCTTCGTTCACCACAGCATTTTGTCTCACTTTCCTCATGACCTTCTCACTGGTGGCTCACAAAATACCAAGGAGATTGGCCGCTTTCCCTGGTGTCTGCTTTCCAAGTGTGGAGGAGGACTGTCCAGTCTGAGTACAGCTGGCCAGAGCGATGGTGGAGAGGGCTGTGAAGGTAGTGAGGAAAATAGACAAAAGCTGTAGAGCTGGTACTAGGCTTGAAACAGCCTTATACTTGGATGAGTGGGATTTCCTCAAGACAGGTCAGTGTCATGTGTTTACTCCAGCCCAGCGGGAGCTCAGTGACTGCTCAAGTGTCAGTCTTCCCACTGTATTGCCATTTGTTTGCATGGGATTAAGAAGTCTTACAGGTAAATGACTGTCTTAAATCCCAGTGCATAAAGAAATTAACTGTGTGAGCGTACAGGTTCAGTTTATCCCCTGAGCAGATCAAACCATTTAGGATTATGGTCTTTAGTATGGCTAATTACAAGCAATCCATCATTAGAACAAGCTGTCTTCACTCTTGCCTGGTGACATCTACAAGCCCTTACAGTTTTTTTGGTTGCTAGGTCACTTTCAGAGGCTCATTTTTTGTGTGTCACTGTCCACCTTTCTTTCTGGTGGAAAATCACTGAGGGTGATGGTTGACTATAGGAAACTATGGGTATAGGTTGACTACAGGTGTTTAAGAAAGAGGTAGCTTGGTCTTCTGCCACACTAACTGGTTTGGTTTGTTTTTGTTTTTTTTTTTTTTCTTCTGAATTGTGCAATTCCTTCAAATCAAAAAGGGCTCCTACCTCATGTATCGCTATGAGCTTCAGAGGGAAAGGTCTCAATCCTGTATCCAAGTTCATGCCTGTTAAAATGCTTTTCAATCTACCTGCATATCCTCTAACTACTATGACTGATGGAGATGTAACACATTCTCAGAACCTGTGCTGAAAAACTGAGTGATAAGGTAGAAAGCATCCATCGTACAATGTAGGGGCAGGGCAAGAGATAATTAGAAAGGTAAAACCAGAAGCCCTCACCAAATAAGAGAAAAGGAAGGTGGGCAGGTTTATGTATCACTTAAAAAAAGGATGGGGTAGTTCCAGATGGGATAACCCCGTTGTCAGTGTGACAAAAGCTGCATGGTCCCTTTGTAGAAAAGGCTGTCATAGATGAGGTGTTGCACCGTGTGTCATCTCCAGGCCTTCCATCACAGTCTGTAAAGTGGCCATTCCTGTCCCAAGTGCCTGGACCATGCCATCCCTCCCACAGTGAGTGTTCTGCCTTCTTTGGCCTGAGAAGAAACAAACTAACATGGCGGTTGAACAGAAATGGCACTGGCTAAAGACTCTTTTCTGTATATGTAAGGAAAATGACTGGCACCATGAGGGGCGACAGGAGAAAGCTGCTGTAGAGGAGAAAGTTGCTGTCTCAGTCCACAGGGCAATGGCTGGAGAATCAACTATTCTAGCTGTAGAAACAGGATTCTGCCAAGGTTGGATGCAGCTGATGGATGATCTAGGGACAAAAAGAGTGTAAATTCACAGATTCAAACTGTTCAACGTATTCAGTTCACCAGAACTTGTCAGTAAAGCAGTTTTAGACATAATGATGGGCAACTGGGAGAATTAAGTATTTCAGCCCAACTATTTCCTCAGAAAAGTTCTCCTCATAAATTACTGCCTGAGAGGAGAGAAAATGCTTTGAGCAAGACAGACACAGACTTACTCTTGCACAGCCTGTGAAAGAGTTGAGAACAACTGGGGCACTAGTACTCCTGTTCGCTCCCATAAAACATTTTTATTTTTCTAGTTACTGCTTGATGGTTCAGTTTCTGGGAACTATTTCTGGCTATTGCATGGAAAAGAAAAAGAAAACAAACACATTTAAAAGAGGTAGCACTGCTCTGCTGGTGATGTCTCCCCAGACCCAGATTTCCCTTTCCCTCTCAACTGCCCTGTAATTATTTTACCCCCCCAGGGTGTTGTCCCATCTCTCCAGTAGGGTCATCTCTACAGTCAGAAACTTGTGCTTAATGACAACTTCTGGCTGCTGCTGTCAGAATTATGCAAGCTCTCAAGGGCATCACTGCTGCACCCTCGGACTTTGTCACCTGTGATGAACCCTCACAGTCCCTGCAGCCAGGCTGCACTGTCAATGGTACATGGATTTGTTCCTTACAGAACTGAACAGTAGTGAAAAGGGTGATTCAAATACCATTTCCAAGCCCATAAGTATTTTCCCAAACTTCTTGCGAGGGACAGAATTGCAGAACAGTGCGATCTTTCAATTTGCCCATTAAATTGCAAGGGACAAAGTAGCCTTATGACTCCTGGTTGGATGGAAAATATGTGTCTACTATTTTTGTACTTCCCCATGTTGTAGAAAATCTAGAAAAGACCTAGTCATAGGTCTTTCTAGACCTGACATAGAGGAGTATGCAGACAATTTGAGACATGCTGGAAGATCAGACAAAAAGAGTAATTCTAGGTCTCCAAAGGCATTAATTTCATCCACACATGAGATTCTTCTATCAGCAGCAATGATCCCATACAAGACATCAGAATCATTACCATTAGCTAGGCTTTAAATCTGGAGCTTTTAAGGAGAAGCTAATTTGTCAGGACCATCAGTGCACTAATAGGCTTTAATGGCCACTATCAGCCTCAGCTGAGGTGTCTCCCATTCATCCCTTCTGCTCCTGGGCCAAGGAGCCTCATTTCAGCTTAGCACAGGGCCATCAGTTCCTGCCTTAGCTATGTTCCAGCCATATCTGTGTCTGGTTCGGGTCCCTTGTGATCCAGGTACTGTTGTAGACCTTGATTCTTGCTGTAGATTTGCTTCTTGAGTCTGTGTACATATTGACTGATCATTTTTGCCCCTTTTACTTTAGCTACTTCTATGAAGTGCAATATCCTGCTATTTTCATGCCTTTGTAAAAAGAATGTCTCCTTCACAGGTTGACCACCCGAGAAGGAGAAAAAAGATGTGTAATTTCTAAGCACTTCTATTATATACCTCCCAAAGTATAAAGATGGTGACCACACTGGGAACATAAGCCAGATCAATTTAATGATCAATGATTCTATTGTGTTACAAGTCATTACCATAAAGTACAATGAGACAAAAACCTTAGCCCAAGCCGACACTTGAAAAACACTAACACAGCAAATACCAGATGCAAGTAAGGTATACTGAAACTGTGAGATCAAGAGGAGCAACCTTGAGAGCCAATAAATCAGCATTGTGACGAGTGACTATTAATCCAGACAGATCTGTTGTTATCTCAACCCTTCGGGCCCCACGTTGGGCACCAAAAAGAAATGTCGTGCTTTAAACCCTAGCCAGACAGCTTGTTCACTCACTCCCAGTGAGTGGTGCCGGACTGAAAGCAATCGAGGCCCCCCCTGCCCCAGGGGCTCTCCCCTTCCCTACTCCCAAAGGGATAGGGAGGAGAATTGAAAGAGTGCAACTCCCACGGGTTGAGACAAGAACAGTCCAGCAACCAATGTACAACACAAATCACCACCACTACTACCAACGACAACAATGGTAAGAGAAAATAACAAGGGAAGAGAATACAATACCACCTGCCGAGAAACAAGTCCGACTCAGAAGCCCATGTCCTTCTGGGTAACTCCCAGTTACCCCCCCAGGCATGACGTGCTGTGGCATGGAATACCTCTTCGGCTAGCTTGGGTCAGGTGTCCTGTCTCTGCTTCCTCCCAGCTTTCCCTCCTCCCTGGCAGAGCATGAGGCTCACAAAGTCCTTGGTTAGGGTAAACATTACTTAGCAACAACTGAAAACATAGGTATTATCAGTACTGTTCCCAGGCTGAAGTCAAAACAGTGCTGCACCAGCTACCAAGAAGGAGAAAAATTGACTGCTACTGCTAAACCCAGGACATCGGGCTTTCGTGCCTCTTGGATGTTGATCATTCCAGGAAACAGGGTTTTCACCTTGGGACAAAAGCCTGTTGCTGCAGCTGCATGAAGAGGTAAGATACGGGTAGTGGTGAATTGCCACATTCAGAATGAAGATGTGAAAATGCTAATGTTTCTATGATTTGGTATTGACCTTCCAAGCAAGAAAGATTGAGCAGACATGAAATTAATTTGAAGCTGTAAAGTGTAGAGAGTAGTAGCATATGTTTTCATAGCAGGAGGCCTATTTAGCTAGAATACTAGCCAAGTTGAGAATAACCGGATTTATATAGCAAAGGATGCTTTGTCATAAGCAGAACAGGTAGTAATACAAGAACCCAGATACCTTGTCTCAAAGAACATTTCAGACTGATGAAGAAACTAAAGCACAGACGCGCATTTAAGAATTGCTTTTTTTATGTTTGTCTGTTATCTTTCTTATGCGAGCAAAGAATAGATGTCTGTCAGCTTAAGTAGTATCTATATACTTTCCATATATTTATGAATAACTGCATTATAAATCCAAAGTGCCCAAGTGCAGGTACATCAGTGTGAGATGGTCTCATTATTTCAAAGTTGAGTATGATCTCCGGCCTGTAAATCTAAGCAGTCTTGGTATAATTTTTGTTCAGATTCAGGTATTCTAGAGATTCAGAGACCTGAAATGGCTCTAAATAGTCTATGACAAAAGCAGAAGCAGCTTTTCCCTTGGAGAGGGCAAAAGTAGCATTCAGAAGGCAGTTCTTGATATGATTTTGGAAGGGGTTGTAGGAATCTGTTTTAGTGAACTTGGTGACCCAATGTCCCTTCTGATGCTGCATTTAATTCTCTCGAGACGTGTGCGGGTGGCACAGAAATTGCAACCCATTGCTCAAAATCCAAGCAGTATTACTGCTTTGTTAAGGTGATTAGCTTGGATTTTTGTCTCAAAGAGCTCTCATCAAGCATCTCTCTGAGCTCTGTAAGCTTTAATGCTTATTATCTGATCGAATCTTAGTTCTGGCAGAAGTTAGTGTCTGTACCAAAGAGACAAGGAAACTGCTAAAGAGAAAGGAAGCGACCCACTTAGCATTGTAGAGGAGGAGAGGGAAATCTCGTATAAGTCAGGAATCTCCTTCATTTCACTCACAGGCAATACTTTCTTCAGCATAAATATAGCTTCTGGACTTTGGAATTTGTTCTGATCCTAACTCTGCCATTCCCTTCTCCCCAGGGGCTGTGTTAAGGATAGAGTGTGAGCTGCACTTTCCCTAGGTGCCGTTTTGTGGTGAGAAATGAATGAACATTGGTTGGCTGACTCCTGATGCTCATTGGTATGCTAGGAGGGAAACCTGGCATGCTGCAAGGAGCATGTTCTTCTGTACTCTGTATGTAGAGGGAAGGGGTGGAAAAATGCCTAGAGGACATTAGGACACAGGGAAGAAAGCCCTCCCAGGTGTTAGTTACCTCTGCTGTGGCCCTGCTTGTACTGAATCATCCTTCTTTGTTTCCCTGTAGCTTTTTCTCACTGTACAAGATTGGGTGTATTTCAGAGACTCTGAGTTTCTTACTCTATTTTCCATGTATCTATAGGGTTGAAAGGTTTTATTTTTTTGTATTATAATGTTGAAAGGTCAATCAGATAAAAGTGGCATAGTTTATTTAAAGATGCTTGATGCAACATATAGATCAAAAATGTTCTGCTTAACGGACAGCAAAAAGGTCACTGCTTTTTCCTAGGAAGTGATCAAAGCTTGCTTCATTGAAACAGTGATTAGACTGCTGTAGCATGCCAATGCTTAAGTTTCTTTTCTTTTACATGTTGTTTTGCTGCACTCCTGACTAAGACAGCGAAGGCAGATAGTTAAAGAACTTCCAGAAGAAAAGACAGCATGCATGGCAGAATTCTCCATAAGGTTCCATCACACTTTGTTTAAACACTTCATTTGAGTCTCCGTTATGCTGATTATACCCAGAGGCCACTCAATGGTATCAGATACTTTTATATTTTCAGTTTTGAATACAATGCAAGGTATGAAATTCTTTTACAGTTGTATGTTAAACATTGAGCATGAGCATATTAAAATGAATGTAGTTTTGTAAACTCGTAGAATTTGAAGGCATCTTTTATTTTTTTTTTTTGCTTTTAACTCTCAGCTGCTGGAGTTTATGCCTCAAGCTGTGGGCTGAGATAAGAACAGCTTAATTAAAATAAAGTATAATGTAATACTAACACTAATAATAATAATGAAAAGGGTAATAACAAAGAAAGAGATAAAACAAAAAAAAACCACTCAAACCTTGATGGATGATCAAGGCTGACTGATATACAGCCTGTCCCTGAGCAGCTAACTACCCCCAGTTTATATACTGAGCATGATATTCTGTGGTATGGAATATCCATCCCTTTGGCTAGTTCAGGTCAGGTGCTTCCTCCTGGCTTATCCTTCTGGAAGACCAATTATCTTGACACAAACTTTTTGATACAACCAGTAAGGATGTATTCACTGAGAACTGCTTGGCAGAAAAAAACTATTCCAAAAAGCTTGTGCAAAAAAGAGAGCTCCAGAAAGCCTGTTCAGAATTATTACTTGTTATTGGAAGGTCTTCAGGAAAAAATACCCTAATTTTCCCCTCATTCTCTGTCAATTTTCTTTCTTTTTGATTTGCATTAAACTATTAAGGAGATCTGGTCTTTGGCAGTCATAAAGGGCTTTGGCAAGCTTCCCAAATGTAGCACCTTTGGCACCTTCCCTCATTACCCACTTAAGCAGCATTTGGTAAACTTTTTCTTTTAGTCCGTATCGATCATAGTCGTAATCAATTTCATCAATGTCAGGTTCACAGAAGTCCAGTTTACGAGCACACTCCTTCCACTGTTTGGCCAACTTTTCTTTCACTAGATTCAGATGTTCATCAGTCACGGCACTTTCATTGTCTGCAAAAAGTATAAGAAAATGGCATTGTTTAACATTTCTTCTGCTCCTTTTGCTGTCTCACCTGTTCTACAAGTTATTGGTAATACCTGGAGACAGAATTTTAGTGATAACAATCAGAAGCGGATTTCACTGAAGGCAGTATTACCCAATGATGCCAGGGAAGAAACACTTCAGGACACACATCTTCACAGGTCAGCTGCTGGACTTGCTTTTTGATCTGAGGCTATCACAGTTTGTCACTTAAACCTGTGAGATTGAAGAGCTCCTTCCCAGAGTTCTGACACAGCTGTTGTCTGTATGATGTTCTATATTCTGGGACACTAGTAATTTGTTTACTTAGGAATACACAGAGATAGTTTAATTTGGTATTGACCAACAAAAATAAATTGAATTTCAGAATCTTCCAATTTCTACCAGAATGAAGTAGTCACAGCCCCAGACCTGTCAGTGGTCAAGAAGCATTTGGGCAATGCTCTCTGATATCTGGTTTAACTTTTAGGTTTCCCTGTGTGGTTTCAGGCACTGGGCTCAACGACCTTCATGGGTCCCTTCCAACTCGGGATATTCCATGACCTGAACAATAAGTCAGGTGAGGACCACCAATCCTAACCTTGCTTCTACCAGTCTGAGTGTTGTTACTCCTCTTGTTCTTGATGCGTATACATCAATACTTGTATCTGGTTTCTCGTAAGAGGTCATAAAACTATAGGACAAATGAGGTACACAGTATTACAGAACAGTATTAGCACAAACTCTTACTTGTTTTATACACTCTCATGCACGTAGAAGAAAAGAACCCAAACAGTTATTTCTCAAGTATCAGAGGGAGAACGCAGTACTGCTTTCATACATTCCAAACCAAATGATTTTCAGATGAATATATAGCAAAAATACATCAAGAATAGGGAGCTATTTCTCTTACCAAACACACCATTTTTCTTATAATACCTATAAGATTCTTCCGTAGCACCAGGATAAGTGCTGACGTTTTGACCGGGCTCTTCAATCTTCATGTGATTGTAGGATCCAATCTGAATTCCAGAACTGTAACTTATGTTGTACTTGACTGAATCTTCTGTATAAGGGAATTTAATACAATTTTATAATCAACTGCATATTGTTCAAATGTCAAGAATGAACATGAGAAGGAGGTAAGTAGAAAGAAAGTTCTTCTAATAGGGGAAGTGATTAAATGTTTTTATTGCATTTAATGCAGAAATAGCCATTTACTGGCAACTGCAAGCATATTTTCATTATGCAGTCAACACAAACATACTTTCACAAAGTGAAAACTAATCCTATTCTATTTTATGATAAAGTGGTATAACCAAGCCTTACATGCTGGTAATTACTAGACTGTAAATAAAGTTCCCTGCACTTTAAGAATGTGTAGCAGCCTCGCTTTCTGCTGGCTAACAGCTGCAGAAGGTAGTCTTTACTTGAAAGCAGTTTTAATCTTAAAGCCTTACTTCTTCTGCCTCTCAGCTTTACTTTTCATAGACATACATTCAGGTTTACAGTTGTGATTTCAAAGTTCTGTGACACTACAGAAAATTGTTTCTACTTGCTCATAAAATTTCTATACTCCATGTTATACTATGCTGTCTTGATGGCATCTCTCTTCCACAGTTTATTTCATCTCTGCTATCTAGGAATGTATCCTTGAGTTGTATCTATTTTCACAGGGCACTACTTGTGTAGTGTTTGTTTCAACAACATTTCTCTTTTTTTTTCCTTCCCCCGCCGCCCGTTCTGTACTTTTGGTTCTAAGGCAAGACTAGAATGTTTTCCAAGATGCCTTACCAAAAAATGCTACTCATTTATTTTAAGGCCTGAATCCTCAGCAATAAAAGTCAATATGCACTGATTGCACTGCTAAATTGTGTGCATCTCCGTGAGCTTGCATCTGTAGTTTATTTGTATATGATTAGCTAAAAACCTAATTCGGTGTCTTTTGCTTGAAGTTGTCTGATTTTCACACATAACATGAAACTGAATATTCTAGTCATGTTGGATGACATCAATTTTCTGTTCTCTTGACAGTGTTTTCTGAACTTTTTTTAGATAATCATCCATTAAATGTTGTAACTCTAGTTTAAATGGTGAGTATCACAATCTGGGTATAAAATTGAAGTACAGATACTTAAAATGACACACAAACTGTGTATTTAATCATCCAAAATGATGATTAGATGTACAAATATCCTTGTTACACACTCAATTGCAGTGTGGAGATCTATGGTCATGCATGAAAATCTGATTAAATGCATTTAATATTTGTTAACCTGAAACTGCTAGTCAGAAATACCTATAGGTATGCATGATTAGTTTCTAGGCGTTGCACAAAAGGAATGCATTTTATCATGTCTCAAAATATTATGATTCCTGTATCCTTTCCTTTTTTTTTTGTTGGGGCTTGTTTTTTTTTAAGGTGAAGGCCTTGGGAAATATGTTCATATTTTTAGCTAAAAAATTAAGAAATCTCATGTGTGTGTTATTTTCTTAACCTGTAGCAAAATGAATCTAGCACAAGATATGAAAACACATACAAATGCTTTGTCGATATTAAGAGTAAAAGTTACTGTGCTTATATACCTCTTTTTCTAAGCCTCTATACTTCACTTGCTTGTCACATTTGGGTCATTATAGTCAAGAAGAGAGAAACCTGCTGTTTCCAGTTTTCTAAGTGTAAACCACTTACAAACTTGGACAAGCCTTGAAAGGGTTAATTAAAGAGTTCAGGGTGTCTCAAGCCACACATCTTGAAAGGAACATATATTAACAAGTCCTAAAGGACAGAACAATTTCAGGGATTTAAGACAGTTGAGAGACCTGTGCCTCAAAGAAGGGTGATCAGCACAAGGCCTGCAGCTAGAGATCTGTATTCAAAACCCAGAGCAAGAAAGGACAGGTGTCCCAAATGCATGTGTGGTTCAGCAGCTGGGTAGAGTTGCAGCAACTTGACATTTAATCTAAAAGTGACTGGTTTTGCTGTGCAGAAGATGTTGCAATGCCATCATGTTTTTAAAAGCTCTTTCAGATTGAAAAACATACTGTCTTGATCCACCAAATACACATTTAATGGTGTGTACAGGTCCTTCTAGAAACAGGAATTAGTTTTGCACACTTGTACTGAGAACTTCAGCTATGGTTAGAGGTATTAAGCAACGACATAAATTATTTCAAGATCCTGATGTTTTCTGCTTTACTGGTCAGGATGCAATGCATAGCCTGTTAGCTACCAGGATGGATAGAGGCTACAGCACTCACCTCTGCTTGCTCTGGGAACACTAGAATGTCTAAAAATTTGCCTTATGAAAGGAGTGGAATCTGTGTTACCTAAACAGAGGGAAAACAAAAAAAGTTTCAAAAGCATTATGTAAATAAAAAACAACTGTACTTAAAAATGACTGCCATATTTGTAACAGTATAAGTACACAGTTTGTGCTCTTAAATACAAAGAGATGAGAAGCTTTTAAATTATTATATCCCCTTGAATAACTCTTTTAAAGCAATAACCTTATCAGGGTTCTGCTCACTGACTAATAGCTTTAACCACCCTTGGATCCCAGTAAGGGCAATGGGCTTCCATGTGGGGGTATGAATACCTGGCTAATGCACAGCACTGTGGGAACACAGCACACAGCAGTTATGGACTGAGCTGCTTCATAGCAGGTCTTCAAATTGGCAAATTCCAAACTCGCAAGTGTGCTTTTACTGCTTACTGCTGAGACTGACTGTGGTATGTGTTAGCATGCTGTTTGTGAGTGGCTCTAGCAAAGGCATGGACACCACTGCATCTTCTGCTGGTGGCAGCAGTGTTTGGCAGAGATATAACTTCCAGCCCAGGGCAGTAATTATTTTGGATGCCTGCAGATGAGCTCTTGAACTTATGCTGGGGCAGTAAGAGCGGCTGAGTTACAGTCACCTGACACGTCACTGGAAGAGATGTAATGCAGCTCTTCTGCATCTAAGTCCAGTATCTACCATGCTATTCCATGCAGCCTCCCTACAATAACTGTTTTTTTTAATTTTTTCTTTCAAACAGAAGAATTCACTTTATTAGTGATGTTGATGGTTCTAATCCCTGCCTTTTGGCATGACAGCTCTGATTCATTTCAACAAATAAACTCACATAAATAACTAATCCCAGCCTCTGCATAATGTAACAGAATAACACCTTTGTGGCATTCTGCCTGTAAAAAGCTAGGCATTCTTGTGAGATGATCTGGAAAAGAATACCACACTAAAAATATCCAATATTTAGTAGGAACAGGCAAATGTATCTTTCATTTCTAGCTCCTGAAAGTTACGTCTTACAGGTCTCTAGCTGCCATTTTACTTACACTTTGCCAAAGCTTAGCGTTCTTTCTTTGTCTCCACACATTTGTATGCCACAGCTCACTAGCAAATACCAACAGAAGCTCCCCATCAGCACCAGCCACATCTCTCTGGAGAAAACAGTTATGAGCCTCAGCTCCTTGTTGGCTCCCTGAGCTTAAGAGGCTCATACCTTTCTGCAAATCAAGCTAAAAATACACATTTATTTTCTGAAATGCTGCAAATGATGTTTCTGCACAAGCAGAACATATGGTATGAATGGTAACAGTTTTCAGAGTCAATAGTTCTTGTTTGCTTTCCTAGAATGACTGATAGCAGCTCTTTGTTTTGGTAGCTGCCGTAGCAGTATCTGCCATTTGCTGTTACTTGGTTGGTAGCTGAAGACTTAGGTATTAGGTCTGATGCTTCTCTATTACATTGATGCTTTAGAAATGGTTCACTTGAAACTGACAGCCTGAAATCAGTGAAAGTAGCATAACGAAGCCAAAGATATTGTTTTAGCAACCTGAAGTAACATCAAGCAGACAGAGAACTTAATGAAATAAATTCCCCTTTGCTATATCGCAGATCAACTGCTAGCAACAAGTGTTACACAAACTACAAGACACTACTGACCACTTAATTTTTAGAGAGCAAGTGTGTTTTCAGAAACATAGGTCTTGGAGGAGGAGGAATCTCACCTGTATCTTTGTCTGTGTTCTTTGGATACCAGTTTACATTGGTTTGTGATTGCGAGTTTTGGTCAGATTCAGGCACAGGTGTGCCTAGGTTAAAGGTACTGGCTGAACACAAGCCATAGGTAGCATCTGTGTTTCCCATTAGAATACCCTTAGGGTTTATCCCGTGAAAAGTGTCTACAGTTCCCTGTTTTGGTGTTATTGCGGCTGGCCAAATATATGGATTAGTGTTTACTGTTGTTTTTTCAGCTCTGGGATGCAGCTCACTCCATTGAGGAATAGGAGACGGCTTTGCAAGTGGATCATAGGAAACTCGTCTCCTTTCTTCCTCTCTCATTTCAGGGGTGTATACTACAGGAAGAACTGCTTTATCCATCCAGCTCCCATATGCATGGTAGTTGTATTCACGCTGAAGTTTTCTGTTTAGATTATCAGCAGATGTAAATGGGGTCTCACAGCTCTCAACAGGCTGGTTCTCAGGGGAGGCAGCAGACAGGGCTTCATTAACCTGACTGGTCATGGGACCTTGAATACTGTGTAGAGAATCAGGCTGATCTGAAAGGGAGAAAATTAAAATATTTTAAATACATCCAAATGCAATTATATAGCTTGTTGTGATGACACTAGAATCTATTAATCTACCTTTAATATTATGGTAATATATAAAAGGTTAAATATATCATCACTTCCAGCAGAAAGCTGTGTTTTATTATATAGAATGCCTTTACAGAGAAGTATTGCAAGCTTTTATCTAGGAGGTATAGGCTTGTTTAAACTATCAGTATCAAAATCCACTTAAGTGGTGTCAGAATTCACTGCATACTCTATTTATACTGACATCAAGTTCTCAGCCACTGAAATAAATAGTTGCTGAAGGCATTTGCAGGGTCCGATTTACTGTTGTGTCTCCACTGGCATTAACTGAGATTTAATTGGTGCAAAATTAGAGTGTAAAATGATGGAAAATAACACCACTGTAATAGGTATTATTTCATACAGCACAAATTACTTGTAATTTCAGTAATGTCTGCAAATCATTACGCAAAATATCCTGTCTGGGTATTTTGTGATTAATCCTTTTCATCTTATTTATTCTTTATAGTCTCAAAGTATACACTTTTACAAGTAATGCCTACCAAATAAAATAATCTGTCATCTACATCATTCAAACTAATTCTCACTATCAAAGGAAGCTCCACTTCAGTCTCAAACTAGATTGAGTTATGATCTGGATCATGCTGCAGCATTCCAAGACTAAAAACGAATTTAAAAATCTTCTTGTTACTCTTTATTCTTATGGTTTTAAGGGTAGGACTACAGATGCTTCCTTAAAAAGTTCTGAAAGCTTCACAGTTGTCTGTACAATGTGGACACAGTTGTCTGGCAATGTACATTGCCTAAAGCAAAGGATTCTTATAGACCACTGTAAAATTGGAATAAAGTGTATGTATGTGCTTCTGTTTAGCACAGATAATGTCAGTGAACTGTGTTGTGTCACATCCCTCCATCCCCAATTACATGAATTCAGACTAGTTCCTTTTTATGTCTTTATATTAGTACACCTCCAGTCTGACTCATTCTGCTTCTTTTGTTACTGCTGCTAGAGAGGGAATGGGAGGAATGATCTAATACAGACACAACCTCATCAAAAGTGATAGCTATTAGCAATTCAGTATTAGCATAAACTACATGGCATCCATTCTTCAGGGCAAGTTTGAGATGTATGAACAGATCCTGTGGGATATCTTTCACTACCACTATCTGAGTAATAGCCATTGACTGGAGAAGAAAACCTGACTTTGACTGATGGGCTGTCAAGATAGTATCTTTCAGCAGTGTAGATTCAAAATAAAGCCTTTCATAATTAAAACACGTAATCTGCTGCAGCCATACGTGGTTATTTGTGCTAGAGAAATGTAATTGTACTTATTTTGAAATATAGCAGTAGTGTTGCCCTACAAAGTCCATCAGTTCTACTGAAGAGCAGTTATGGCAAACCTAGCTTTGGGGAAGGCTTATTAGTTATATGTTACAGTTTAACATTATTCATTTCATGTCTTTCAAATGGTGTGAGCAAACTTAGCAGGATCTATTTTCTGCTGAATTTGATATTGTTGCTTGTAAATCAGTGTTGCAGGCATGATCCTATATCCTTTGCCATTAAAAACTTTGGTAAAAAAATTCCAGATACATTTCTACAAAACTATAACTGTATAATCACATATTAGTAAGACAGCTCTATAAAACCACGAAACATACAACTCATGCAAAATGTGATGGAAAATACGAAAGGAAAATTCATCTATGTATGACTTTTGGGACATTGGCAGCAAATTTATTCTTTTCAGTGATTACATTTCTTTCTCAAATGCTGAATAATTAAGTCTCTTCATAACCCCTTAATGGTAAGATCACTTATTTTGTACATGTATGAAACTTTATCTTTGGCAGAATACACAGAATAATGATGTGTTAGTAAGTGTCTTACCTGCTTGAGCATTACTTCTGTTTTCTGCTACAGCATCTATTTGAAGGGACTGCATCTCATCCAGCAGTTCGTCTGACACAGGCCACATTTTCTGCATATAAGAAAGAATTTATAGGCAAAAGTTTAACCGAAGGGAGTTCCTGTAGAATAGAAAACAGCACAGCTTCACAGCAAAGTGACTGGGATGAACACATTCCATGAATCTGGGAATCTTGCAGAGAGCATAGCCTAACAAAAAATACCCATTGCTTTGCTACGGATGGGCAAAATCTTTTCTTCAATGAAAGAGGGAAGGACTGCAATACAACTGCAGAATACAATACTCTAAGTTGGCCAAACAATATCCTTCCTTACATGAGTATGAGCTTAACCCAGAGATAGTGGATTTGGATTGTCTGCCTTGTACTTAATAGACTTCTTGCAAGCAGTCTTGGTGAGAAGATGCTGCTGAGGCAAAGGCAGCAAACGTGCACCCTGTTCTGTGGATTATATTTATTTCAAGTATATTCATCAAGAGGGAAGAGGTGAGAAAGATTTACATTCAGGTATGACCATGATGACTTTTATGAAGAGTATTATGAACAAGGAGTTTAAAGCAAATCTTCAGAAATAAGCAATTTCCTTTCTGTAAACCCTCATCCTCACTTCACTAGATTGAAGGCAAAATCCATTCTTGTTCTAATCTTCTGATATTCCCACTATTCAGAGTTCCCTCAAAGTAAATTTTTTTACCTGAAAAAAAATTCTCTATTTCCTTCAGTGCTCCTTACTCATTAGTTCTAAAAGTAGTAATTTTTTTTTTAATTAAACCCAAGTAGTACTTTCACAGATTAAAAATCAACAACCGCTACTCACTCCCTCCTGTCCCCTGTTCCCCATCCCTCCCCCCAAAAAATCTTCTTACTTCTGAAAGCAACAGATAACATTCTAAAGCACATTGTAATCTTAGGTCCTTAGATTCTTCTTGAATAACTGAACTCCTTGAGCAGGGCAATTGGACCAGACGACCTGCAGAGGTCCCTTCCAATCTCACCCATTCTGTGACTCTGTGGTCATTTTAGTTAGGAGGCTGTGGACTGCTTCTGCAGTTGCTAGTGGAGGGCTATGCCCAATGTGCAACCCTCCAACTCATGTTGCTACTGAAGCTGTATTAACAGTTCATTCACCACATTCACTTGCCTTGGATGCAGTACTTGCATTCTGTGCCCTGATCAGAATGGATGCTTTCCTTCCTGAGAAAGTAATAGATTCATGGCCTATTTTTCAAGTAGTCCTTTGATCCCTATGATTTGAGATGTATATTGCACAGAACTAATACAGCTAGTATAATTAGCCATGATCCTGATTTGGGGTCACTATCATAAATCAGTGTATATACTTTACCATAAATCAGATGTATATACTTCACATTATGAGTTAGTTTGGTCAAAACAGTCCATGAAATTTGTTCCATCAATTTTATTTTGCAAAACTCTACTGTATTTTCCAACAGTCACTAGTATTTCACAAACATCACATGTTCCCTAAACCAGAAACTTTCGTTTCCACAATTGCAGACTTGGTGACAGAAGGAAGCACTTTAAAGAAAACTGTAAATGAACAGTTTCATGAAGGAAGTTGTTTTCTTATTTAAAATGACTGGGTATCTGACCCTTATTTCACTGCAAAGATTAAATTTATAATGCCAGGAGTTCTCACTGACAGCTGTCAGTACTACAGAAGTGAGTAAATTCATAAAATCTGTGATAAAATCAGCCCAAGAAGTTCTCATTCTCATGTTTTCAGTCAGAAAAACATTCTTTATCATAATTTATAAACCTACAGAGAAGTAAGAGAAACTGACTTGGATACTCAGGAAAAACATCTGACTCAAAATATTCCCTGTTATTGCTGCGGTATAGCTTCCTGCTCTCAAACAGGCTGGGACTCTTTAGATGAATGTAGTACACAGATTACCAAGAATTTACAGAGGTCTTTTTTATATGTAGTCTCTGTCAGATTCTGCCACTTTTGAATCTCTAGGAATAACATTTTATTTAATGAGTGAAACTTAACAGATATATGAGGAGCTTTTGCAAAGTATTGTCATAGAATCAGAGTGTCACTCAGGTGACAACAGACCTTGGGGGATCTGAGGCCCACCTCTTGCTCAAAACAGGGTCATTTATGGGATCAGAGTTGTGCAGTTGGGTGTTGAAACCCTCCAATGATGGTGACTGGACAACCTCCTTAGGTAACTTGCTCCGCTGCTTGGCTGTCCGCACAGGGAAGTTTGGGTTTTTTTTTTGTTTTCCCTCTTATATCCAGTTTGAATCTCCTTTATTTCAGTTTATGCCCACTGTTTCATGTCCTCTTACTATCACTGCTGTGAAGAGCTTGCTCTATCTTCTCAATAACTCCTTATAGATAGGATGAGGAGATACTGCAAGTTTGGCTGAGACAGTCCTGGTATAGAATCATAGGATGGTTAGGGTTGGAAAGGACCTTTAGATCATCTAGTTCCAACCCCCCTGCCATGGGCAGGGACACCTCGCACTAAACCGTATCACCCAAGGCTTCGTCCAACCTGGTCTTGAACACTGCCAGGGATGGAGCATTCACAACCTCCCTGGGCAACCTATTCCAGTGCCTCACCACCCTAACAGGAAGGAATTTCCTCCTTATATCCAATCTAAACTTCCCGTTTAAGTTTTAACCCATTACCCGTTGTCTTGTCACTACAGTCTGTAATGAAGAGTCCCTCTCCAGCACCCCTATAGGCCCCCTTCATCCCCAACTCATATGGCAGGACTAACAAGTGCTGAGCTTATCTCCTCCTGCTGCTGGCCTTCCTGACTGTTGTCGAGGCTCTGGTTGGCGCCCGGGTTGCTGCTTACCACTACCCTAACGTCTTTCTCAACAGGGTTGCTCCCCGGCCAGGCAGACCCCAGCTGACACTGAAGCCAGGGATTATTCCAGGTGCAACATGTTGCCTTTGTCCTTTCTGAATTTCACAGGTTCTCCAGCCTGCAGCTGGCAGCCTTGCCCTTGTGACGGTATTGACTGGTCCTCCTAGTTTTTTGTCACCTGCACACCTTACGAAAATATGCTCCATCACTGTTGTCAGGCCACCGATAAAGAGGCAAACTAGGGAAGGCCCTGGTACAGCAGACCCCTTCACTACACCAGTTGTTAGTGGCTTCCAGGTGAAGAAGTACAACCCACTAACCACTACTCTCTGACTCACCATCCAGCCTGTTTTCATCTGCTCATCCAGACAGCAATATCCAAACTTGGATACAAGAGTATTTTGGGAGGAAGTGCTGAAGTAAATGACATGCACTGCTCTCCCCTCCTTCCCAAATCCAGTCATTTTAATCACAGAAGGAAATCAGGTCAGTCAGCCTTATCAGTCTCAAAGTGACAGAATCTGGACATAACTGGGATTGGAGAGAGGGGTTATGGGGAACTGACACTTTAAAATGCTTAGAAAGTTACTCACTTTTAACTTCTCCAGATCAGCTCCAATATTGTTTTCTAGATTTTGGCAGTAAAATGGACTGTATTTTTGACTAATTTCTGCAAAAAGGAAAGAACTACATGAAAGTGGTTTTCAATAGAAAATAAGTGATTTATACTGTTAACAATTTTGATGGATAAGGATTGAATAAAGATTTGTATGAAGCCAGAAACAGGAAAGTCATATATATATATATTTGAAATCTGTTCACATGGCTTATTTAGCCCTAATATAGTAACAATAACGGGATGATTTCTAGTGACTTTTGTCGTCGTTGTTGTTGGTGTATTGCTTTTCAGGGTGAAAGCTCCCTGTCCATGACTTGTGTCAGACAGCTCCTTTCCCTGACTTGACTGGCCAAAAGATGGGTTGCTACATTTTAAGAAATAAGCTACATTCAATTGCATTCAGCTATTTGGTAAGGATGGAATTATTGAAATAATTTACAAACATGGTAAATACCAGTATTTTGTATATGGGAAAATTAGAATCTAAGACCCAGTCCAAGCATAAACTCAACCCATTAGCAGTAGATTATGCAGGTTAAATATGGAAATAGTAATATGGAAATAGTAGATGGGTTCCTCCTGTTATACAAATTTCCCCCAAGTATTTAAGTACATGCCTGTTGTATACAAAGCTCTTGATGTTCCTGGATAAATCCAAACCTCAGTTTCCTGTTATGCATAGAGGCTTTTGTTTTATGGGTTGTTTTATTTGTTGTTTTTTTGTTTGTTTGTTTGGGTTTTTTGGCACCATGTATTGAAACAGAAAGAAGAGGCAGGAGGCCTTAAAAGAATTTTGACTTATTCGCTGAATGTTGTTAGTCTCCTCCCCAGCCCCCTCAGGCAAGACTTCCACTGATTACAAGTGTTTTGGGATCTGACTATAAGAAAGGCTGATTAACTAGTCAAAGGCTGTTGTATTGCTCAGGGAAGGCTAAACCAGACAGATTTTGAAGCTAGTTTCAATAGGGTATTTTCTCAGTCATAGCCAAGGTATACTATGTCTCCTGATGTCAGCTTTTCTGTACATTTCAGCAGGAAGATGAAGATGCTAAAGACAAATTATCAGCAAGTATAAAATATCTTAGCTTCATCCACTCATGAGTATTTCTCAAATCTGTAAATGTTGGACCAGATCCCATTTTCCGTTGGGGTACAGGGAGCATGCTTTACTGGGCATGTGAATTGATATTTCTATTTTCAAAGCAAAAACTTGTATTTTAAGAGGAAAACACTCAAGTTTGTTTTACTATATTACAAACTATTGATGGACAAGTAGCAAAAAGAATTCTAAAGCAGTGCCTTACCTGCAAAGGTTGGCCGTTTCTCTGACTCTTGTTTCCAGCATTGTTCCATTAAGTCAATAATCTCCACTGGACATTTATCAGTGATCTCCTCTATGTTTGGCCTCTTTCCATCCTTGACGACAAACCGAATCTGAGAATCATTTATACTATCTGCAAAATGAAATTAAATTCTGATCATGGGTTTTGCTACCTTTCCAATAGGTAAAAAAAATAGTGAAGAAAGAAAAAATGAAGCAGTTCCATGTGTGTTTGTGGATATGTAAAAGATCTCAAAGATGTCTGAGTTACAGCTACTACTTTCACATTAGTGAATTTGAATCCTCTGCCCTAACTTCCATGGGTTAGAAATTTATTTTAAGATGAATAGATTTACTTTTATATCTAAGACATACCTAGCGTAAGTAGAGTAATGGATCTAGCTCTACAGAACCTGTATCTCAGTTACGCTTTGCACTGGGTACACAAAGATGGCCACACAGGCAACATTTAGCCATTTAGCAAAAAATCCATTCAAAACAATAAACATTTTACTCTGGAATTCCACAGTCTGCTCCTATTGCTCTGTATGAGCACATTACTACATGTTAAGAAATTTGTGCCACACAGCTGAGAAGTGACAACTGGCTATGTGACTGTTCCTGTTAAAAGAAAAACCACACATAACTAGTCCACCTCAGAAAATAAGAGTAACATCAAAGATTCCAGCTTGGCCTGCCAGAGGTTTATATAACTTCTGCCACTGAGTGCAGGTTTACGCCCCCACCATATGGGTGTGAACAGATTGGGCTCATGCCAGGATTTCAATTTAGATGTTCTTGTCTATGCTTAGAAGTCCGGAATGATGCAACTAATGCCTTTTACTGGCCCTGAGGTAAAGAACAGGCACTGTTTTTAGGCATACGTGATTTTATCTACTAATCTTAATTTTATAAGTTTAAACGCTTAACATTTGTAACTTCATTCTATGATAGCATCCTTTTGGAAGTAACTTACGTTCATATGGCTCTTTGTTAGCAAAAATTGCCCACATCACTATGCCGAAGCTATAAACATCTGATTTCTCTCCAGGTTTTATGTGAATAGTGCTTAAATGCTCTGGGGCCATATAGGAAAGAGTCCCACCGCTGTAGTGACAAATGCTGTTGATTTGCTTGCGTCGGCCTGTCTCTTCTCGGGACAGATGACTCCAGCTCTTATAGGATGCAAAACCAAAATCTGCAATCTGAAAAATGAGACACATCAGAGCTAGTGCCATGATGCAGAGGCGATAAACATGTATTTCATGCACTGCTCAATTTGATAATGAATAGCTGGTAATAACTTATCTAAAAATGAAATACTGCTAAAAGTCACAACAAGAAAGCAAAACAAACTTTGCCTTTTTTTTTTAGAATCCTAAATGAAGTATCACTGCCAATAGGTGAGCCTTCATTATTAATTTAACCTACTTGGAATGACTGTAAGGAAAATTAATGAATGTAGGGAAAAAAGAAGTGAAAAATACTGAGGTGGCACCTTGCCTCACTTTTAACTTGCTTTTCTTTACTCTCTCATCGCCTATAACTAGCTTATTGTCCATTTGAGTTTCTGAAACTTTGGGCTAAATTTAAAAGTCATATATTCAGAAGAAGAGAAAAATGCAAGTGACATCCTGCTAAGGAACTAGGAGTCCAGGTTCATGTCTGTGAGAGGAGGTCTACTGTGTTAGAGGAAGATACTACGTAAATCTTCCCACATTTGCAGTTTCCTAGAACAACTGTTTCCCTTCATAAATATTGGCAATGTTAGATACATTCAAGCAGATAGATCATACAACTGCCTTAAATTATACTTTTGATCAAGCTCCTTAAGTCTGATCTGATTCTGAATTTGATCCTGAACTCCAGTTCAGTTTGTGATGCAGTGTGATGATAGCCTAGTTTGGTCCTGTCCATATAAGCTGAAACAAGAAAACCCCATCCAGTTTACATTTAAAGCAGATCATGATGGTTCGGTGTGTTTGTTTGTTTGGGCTGGGTTGGGTTGTATTTTCTGGTTGTTGTTGTTGGTTTTAGGGGGGTTGTTTGTTTTATACCTCTTATCTGCACGCTGCTCATACTGCAGTAGGACTTGCTACTATATTAACCTTGTAAAACAACTTCTAAATCTCTAATGTAAGAAATACCAAATGACTGAGCACTCTTCACAGGAACTTATTCCGTAGTTTCAAACTGTAATGGGGTGATTGCTTCAGCGACTCACCTTGACCAAAGACAGGACATCTGATGAGGACTGTTGCAAATTCTACTGAGGTTTATTTAGCAGTAGGCTCTATATCTATATGTCTTGATCCAAAAGCCCAGTAAAGTTAATGGAAGGGCTTTGGAACAGGATAATAAACCATTCTCTGAAGTAGTCTCCTGCTGCTTTTTTGTAGCTGCTGGCTGTCATTTAAAAATGATGACTAAGGGAAAAAAAGAGGGAGACAAGAGTAAAAGGTAATAGGCAAAGGAAGGACAAGAATAAAGAGGAGGAGGTAAAGGCAAGAGAAGAAATTACAGCAATAAAGAATAAAAGACCCGATCCATAAGAAATTCTATTTTGTTTCAATCTCTATGCATAAAGATTTGTTTTCTTCTTTCTAGCTGTATTTTTTTTTTTTGTAGTTCAGCAATTCTCAACAATATTATTCATTTTTTAAATACCATTAGTGATTCCTCTCCCCCCCACCCCACCCCAGTTGCAGGAAGATCGTGCAGATCTCAGATGCTGAATAGGCCACCATACTTCAGTGATCCACTGGTAATGTTCTCTTAGTGATAAAGTACAAAAAAGTTCATCTTCCAAACAAGAAAACTAACCAGTGCAGTCAAACTGTGTTTTTCCAACCCAGATCACCAGCTTTCTCCATTTACATTCTAACCAGTACCTTAATGTGGAAGTCTGTGTCCACAAGGATGTTTTCCGGTTTTAGGTCTTTGTGTACGAAGCCTTTTTTATGCAGATAAAGCATTCCTTCTATAATCTCCATCACAAAACGCCCTTTCACTGACAAAGGCAGCGGGAGCTAAAATAAAGAACAAGTACTATCTAATAAAAAATGGTATTACAACTATCAAATTAAAAACAGTCTTTAAAAAAGTTTCTTTCTCAGTCCCAAGGGTACCTCTGCTCAAGCCATGGTAAAAAAAGAACTAAGGTCCTTCTTGAACGTAAATTTAAAACAATTCTAGAGTCACTCCATATTTACAAAAGCAGTTTTCTTTAGCAAATTTTCTACACTCCTATAACTTTGAACCTATAACTGTGGTTATTCTGTGTGATGCACAGAAAAGCCACAGTTGTCCTCTGCTGTCTCTAGAGAAGGCAGGGCTGCCACTGGCTCTAACACAGAAAGGAGGATGAGATCTAGACTCCATTCTCTGGGATAGCAGTAACAACCTGTCCCTTTCAAGTATCTTATCAACCCTAAGGAAGAGCAGGGGATGAAGCAATTCACTGCTCACTTTCTGTAGCACTTTCATCATGTTCCCTCGTTGCACATACTCCATCACAAGTGAGTAGTTTCCATCTTCCAAAATGATACCTAGCAGTTTTACCACACGCTCATGCTGCAGTCTGTACATAATACTGCCTTCTTCAAGGAGGGAAGCCTTATAACTGTAAAACAGAAATCACACTGAACTTAGATGCTAGGCTAGAATGAACACAGGGATGAAAATGCTGTTGATTCATAATGAAAACGATGGCCATAAATGCCAAAATCCGTAGATCCACTGTAAGATGAACCACACCTTCCCCTAGTTTTGAATTGATACAGCTTTGCTCATGTAAGGTTATATTCTCTAAGTCTCTGCTCAAATGCCTTGCACAGAGACTGTCTGCTCAGCCTGATTTTAAGGTCTGCTTTTCAGAAAGTGCATAAGCATCCTGAACTGGGGTGGATCAGGCAGGGCTTTGGACAAGAGGATCAAATCACTCCATTACCTCTTGTACAGGGATCTATATAGATCTCTTTCCCAAAGGGCTGGTATTCCTGTTCATATTCAAAATGGATTTATTATGGGGGAACCATCCACATACTGGATCATAACACTAACTATTACCAGTTTAGGATGAATTTAAAGCCTAACTTTGTCTGGGCCCTGGTATAATCCATCAATAGTCACAGATACGCAGCTAGGAGCTAACTGTGTTAAGAAGGATGGTACCCATTATAATAAATAGAAGAAGGGGTGGTAGTTTTACTGTTGCTCTTGTTTTTGTCATCAGGCAAAAAGATACAAGAAAATCTTGAGACGATGTTCCTTGCTAATGCTTTCTCCCTCTATGTTTCTCTGTAGTACTAGAGAAGAAAGTGATTGGTTTGTTTGCATTAAGCTCAGTTATAAATTTGCTTAAGATTTTTGGTTCAATACTTTAAGGAATACTAAACTTATGAGCCTGTGTAGTGAGAAAGAAATACACAAAATAAAGCTGGCAGGCTTGTACGTTTTAACTCTGTTCATTCCAAACTGTCACTGCAGTCTGCAAACTACTAGAATCTCTTAATTCCCTTTCTGATGGAAAAAAACGTATCATAACCCAAACGAGTAGAACATAATGGACTTGATGGTCTTAAAGGTCTTTTCCAACCTAGTTGATTCTATGGGGGTTTGTCTCTCTCTAGTGAATGATTCATGGGAAAGATTTAGGACTGCTACAGCTGTGAGGTAGTAGAGCTGCAATGGGAGCTGAATTCACTGAAATCAAGAGCTGATTCCGTCCTTGAATTAAAGCAGAGGGTGTGGCTCACTCTTTTTCTCAAGGGAGAGAGTTATATTCTTGGTATTATACATGGGGGAGGGCAGGGGGGGTGTAGAATCCTGCTAATCGCTCATACATGTGCTCTTAGTGGACACCTACAGTTGGACAACTGTATTGAAAATTGATCTGCAAGCTTGAAAATGTCATGTGCTCACCGAGTTCCTGCATTTCCTTAAGTGTGCAAGAGTGCCCCCGATTCTTAACAACTCACAGGAGTGCTAACCTTGCAATAGAAAAGAGGAACCTCACTGGAACAATGAGTTAAACTTAAAAAGTTGGTTCATGAGAGAAAAAAAACAGGAAAATTTGCAACAATTTGCTAATATTCTCTGAAGAGTATTTTCCTCACATACAGTATCTCCAGAATCCAAAGATCTGAAATTATTACACTTTATTTAGATTTATCCCCATTGAGTTTGGAGATTTCCTTAAACCAACAGGAAGATAAAAATCAGATCTAAGATCTGTAACTTACTTGGTGCGCTCAGGTCCTGTATACACTTTTTTTAATACTACATCTCCATATTTCTCGTGATGGCATAAAAAAATTGTTCCAAATCCTCCAGCATCTAATTTTCTTTTTTCAGACAAATCCTGGGTGTTCATACAGATGTCTTCCAGAGACATGTTTGCAGTCTTTGTGGCTTAGCTAGTAAAACAAAATCAAGTACTTAGTGCTTCTGGACCTGTAGTATAAAGGACAAAAAAGAAGCGTCTTTATCAAGCATTTAGCTGTTCCACTAAGTAAGTGCCTGTATAAGGAGTGGGACACAAATATATACTCTGGTCACCCTTATGAACAAAGGGCCTCAGTCTGAAACCAGACGATGTGGCTCTCATAGCATCATAAAGACTTATCCTGTCACCCTCTTACAGTTCATTAAGTAAATGTAAAAGCATTTCTTTACCCAAGGATCTCAAAGTGCTGTTAATACATAGGTTTTAGCCATATAATACATAGTAAATCAGTACTGTCACTACACTTCACTGCTTCCCAAAGGCAGGAAGTGCCCGATGATTCTGATAGGTATCTCATTTCCTAAATTGCCTGAACATGGGCCTGCCAGGTACCCAGTATAACTCCAAGCTACTCTTTAGGCATCTTTTCAAAACCAGCTCTAAAGGTTTGCTTGAAGCTTGAAACAAAGAAACAAAAGGTTTCTCTTGAAAGTGAAACGAGAAACACAGCTTCTATGGAAAAGTTACTTTCACAGTTGTCTGAATCTAAGGAGACAAGCACCAGGAAGGACGGTGGTGGGATTTAAGGCAAATTCTCCCCTATGTTTCAAAAAGAAGAGGAACAAAGAATGTGAAGGCTTGTATTAACTCCTAAGTGCACCGAAAGAGAGCTTGTGGGAGCCTATGAAATGGGTAAACAACTAAACCCCAGTGGATACCAGAATAATTTTATGCCTTTGATAAAGCTGTGGTGCTCTCTTACCTAACATGTCTTTCTAGAGGAAAAATCTTAAAAGAAAGCTAGACAGCCTGTACTTTTGGCACATACCAGCAAGCTGCCTTGCTAGCACAGGTGCAAGCCACAAGCTCTGTTTTCTTTTCCCCCCACTGAACTTTTACCTTGAGCACCTTACATTGGCTAAGAGTTTGCTAAAAAATGACAAAATCCAAGAGCAGGGCTGTTCAGTTTCCATTCCTCTTGGATGACTATGACACAGATACACAGAGCTGGTAGAAAGGCACAATTTCAAAGTGCTAGTACCAGCAACAGTGGATTGGCTTCCTCTGGTAATTAAGAACTGTAAATAGTGTGGCAAAGGGATTCCCAATTTTTTCAAACCAACAGGGGACTGCTAATTCCTGTAAACTACTGTGAACCTGCATCATCAAGTCTGTAACTGAAAAGGTTTCTTAATGTTGTTATCAACATCAGCTGTAGCCTGATTACCGCAGCCTCTTTCTGGAGTCTGGGAACTGAGGAGACAGAGAAAGTGTCTGTAGAAAGTAGGAACAGAGATGTTTGTGGGTTGATTGGGGAATTGTCTGGTCAGTTCATATAGACAAGTAAAAATAGGAAAGGGTAAACTTAATTAAAAAAAAACAAAAAAGGTTGCACCTGTAGAAGAGAGAAAGCAGGAGCTTCCTCTTGCAAGTGTACATATACCCTATGAGCTGTTGTTGCATAGACATGTGGTGTGATCTCTTCAGAGTTTTCTTCTTTGATTTTCCTGGCCTTGAAAGGAGGTAGATTTAGGTTTGCTGGAGTGCTAGCCTGCATTATGAGCACAGGAGCAAGGTATATGGCTGCATTCATTCAGTAAAAAGGTAAGGTAAGCTCTGTTGTGCCCAATAGTTGTTAGCAGAGAGGAGACTCTTGTGTTTTGCTTGTGGTTTTTTTTTGTTTGTTTTTTTTTTTTTTTTTTTTAAGTTCCTCTATAGCTGCGCAGCAAGTGACTCCCGGTACTGCCAAGAACACTTACTGATGCTCTTGTTGGTGAGCTTTTTGTCTCTCTGGAAGTTTCTGCTGATGGTTCCCCAGCTTTCTTAGGGTGGGTGCCAGAGGTACAAATGCCTGAATTCAGTTGTGAGACTTTAAGATGGCATCAGCTAATATCTTGTTTCTTTGTCTGGTGTCTCACTTTCAGTAATTGGTTAAAAGTCACATATCTATGTAGTTTTTTCATGCTAACAGTAATTATGCATTTTGGTAGTATGAATTACACATGCTTTTATTGTGAATGCAAATTAGATGTGTGTTTTTTGAATAATGAATCTCTAAAGTTGCATTAAAACTACTGATAGCTTGATGTTGCCATTCAATACCACATAACATGACAAAAACCAGCCATCCCTCAAACTGCAATATAGGACCTTGTTCTTATTTATATTGCTACCACCTGTTCCTACCAAGTAGCACATTATCACTGTAATCAGAAGGCTTAGAAATTCAGAAGCAGCAATAACTTCTGAAATTAAAAAAAAATATCTGCTGAAATGAGCTGGGTAATATTTAACAGAGGGAATTTCCTCATAAGGTAGGATGGAACCCTCCTCCTTGGGCATGCTCTGCCATTAAGATGACACTCTTTTTTTTTGTCATTATTGAGTAGTGAGATACTCTGAGTAGAAGCTTTTTGATCTTAAAATTTCAAACCTGAAGGTTTTTGTTGATAGATATCACAGGATAGCAGTCTCTAGCCAGGTTTTCAAGAGTACTTATTTTGGTATACTACTTAGGATAAGGTGTTGGCTGACATTGCTTAAACTTGTCAGATGGTTAAGAAATTGAAAGCTCAAAGGCTCATGTTCATTCTAAGCCTACTGCTTTTTATTGAGATGCATGGTAATTCAAATGTGTCCTCATGTACTTAGGATACACCAGTGCAGACATTACATAGCTGTTGATAAGAGAAAAAAAGATATGCAACGGTTCTTATAGTTAAGAGATTCGGGTTTAGCCTGACCTTATTTCTAGGGCTTTGTGTTCCATGATGTTGCTCTAACCTGTATACTTGATTGACTATAAACCGTTTTTTAATATAGTGTTCAGAACATCTGTATTAGTGTGAGTTCATATTTAACAAGTGCCAACATGTATCATGAGAATATGGCTGCTAGAAGAGATGGATTTTTGCCAACTAACATATTTGGATTTTGCTCACTAACATGTTTAGATTTTCTGTAGAGAGGGCTAAAAACGCATTAAGTGGGTTTGTGGCATTTTTCTTTTTAACACTGCGGTTTGGTTCTCTAACCCCCAAAGGGCACATAAACTCTCCAGAATCATGACCTGGTCATTAAGTCGCACTGCACCTGGGCGGTTTGCTGTATTGTAATGCACTGATCTGCTGCAGATCTTGTCTTGGCCGAACGGTTAAGGAGGATTACTGGGCACGTTAGCACGATCATACAAAAAAGATCAAGCAGTAATTGCTGCCCTTTTGTCTAATGACATAGCACGGAAGTCCTTGAGAGGTGTTACACGGTATAATTGGAGAAAGTGAACAAGTTTTCAAGCACCAGAACTTGGGGCCACTTAGTTATCAATCAGGAAAGGAAGGGAATTACAAACAGGAACCAAAGCTGGTATGGCTGGTACGGGTAACGGGAACTAAACGGAAGGGTAAGGACAAAAATACTGCACGCAGAGAAGATGTTTCAAAAGCTTTAGTACATCTCCACTGTTGCTGTAAGTCACCAACTCCACCTAAACCTTTCCCTTCCACTGAGGTTCTGCTGCATCTTTTCACTGAGGGGTGTGGGGCTTTGGTTTTGTTTTCGTTTTGTTTTTCCCCTTTTGGGGGAAAAAAAGAAAAAAGCACTGATCAGCAGCAGGTTACGGAACGGATCCCGTGCGAACGCGAGGAGAGGCCGAGGCAAACCCGGAAACACGAGAAAGGGTGAAAAGGGAAAGAAGGGTTCTGCGCAGTCGCTCGCACCGGTACCGGTGTGGCACAGTCGGTTCTGGTCTTAAGAAACCCGTGTGTTCGTGTGCGGCACCCAGAGCGGGCTGCCCTGTCAGAGGCTTCTCCCTCGTCCAGCCGCGGCTATGCTTCAGGCAGAATGCGGGAGGGAAGCGCTGCTCCTTCCTCCCCAAGTTCCCCCCGCCTCCCTTTCCCCATCCGCTCCGTCCCGGCAGCCCCATGCGCTCTGGGCGGACAAACGCAGCCGCTCGCCGCGGCTGGAAGCGCGGGACAGGGAAAGCCCAACCGCGGGTCTTCTGCATTCTAGTTCCTCCCTGGCGAAAACGACCTGGCGCCATTCTCTTCCCGGCGGCTTTCTGCCGCCGGGCCGCCTCCCCTCGCTCGCACCCCTCCCTCGCTGGTCACTCCCCGTCACTGCGCCCCGGCGACTTCTCCGTGGCCGGGTGATCCTCCCCGCGGCCAAGTGACCCCGCCGCCGGAACACGGGATGCGCCGCAACCCTGCCCGGCCACCTCGTCCCGGGGCCCGGCAGCTCCCCCGGGACCCGGACCCCACAGCGGTGGCAGCTTTGCAACACTAAGGTGGTGCGGAGGTTTCGGTGGAGCAGCCCAGGTCCCCCTTCCACCACCCGCACCCGCGGTCCGCGGTGCCTTACAGTAGCTGCGGATCCCTCTTCTCCGCCCTGCCGCCTCTCGGTGCGCGCTCTGAGCCCGTGAGCCTGGCCGCCACGGGCGGAGCAAACCGTGACCGGCCCGGCTCCCTGGCGGCCCTGGCCCGGCAGCTGTGCTCTGAGCGCAGGAACTCGGAAGGCTTCAAGGCGCGGCGGAAGAGCCGCGACTGCAAAAAGCTGAGCGATCTGGCCGCGCCGTCACCGGGAGGAATGGCAGGGCGTGCCGAGCGGCCGTGCCCAGCGCCTCCCTCTTTCCGTTCCCTCTCCCCCCCACCCCGGATAACTAAGGAGCCGCCGGCGCATATGAAGAATCTGTTCACCCGTTCCCACCACCCCGCTAGAGTGTGATGCAAAACTATGAATCATGCAAGCTTAGTAGCGTTACCGGCACTGCGTTTGGTGTGTGGTGGAAATGCGTTTCCTTGATGCCCTATTGGTGCCCAAGAGGCAGCTTTTTATTCAGGAAGGGTGGAGGCAGAAGTTTCTCTCTGTCAACAGAAAAACTGTGATGGGTAACAGTTCTGAGGACAGCTGCAGAAATAACTAACCTAAAGGGAGTATTGTACACCATCTAGTCCGTGCTGCAGAGGTCATATACATCTAGGGCATCTCTGGCAGATTTTATGCACTTTGCCATTGCCTTAACAGCAAAGAATATTCCGTAACTAACATTCTATTATTTTCTTTAGGAAAGCTGTTCTAATATAGAAATAAGGACTAATACAGCTTTTTAATATAGGGCTGATCTCTTTGCTTTTCCTCCAGTGGAATAATGATGATGATGAGTACCCACCCTCTTTGCCATGACCTTTCCCATTCTTGAAAATTCTGGCGTTTCCCACTGTGCTTTGCAGATGCTGTGGAGTTCGTGGCTCAGTACTACCAGGTGCTACCAGAATAGCTGTGTCAGCAGGATCCGTGTAGGAATGCAACAGCAGCCCACAAATTGTGTTTAGAGGAGGCAGCCTTTCTAAAGCTGGAGAACATGCTTGAGAGTGACGAAAGGAAAAGCGGTCCAGGAGAGTGGTCCTGTTTCCTAGTGTAAACTGATACCTCAGGCTGTCGTAGATCTGAAAGAAGCAGATCGATCTGCACCCAGCAGGGAGGAGTGTTTCCTCACAATAGGATGTTCCCAGCTCTGGGGCTGAGTCAATGCTGAATTAGATTTAATCCATGGTGGATTTCATGGATAGGGTCCTCGACTGTAGAGAATGTCTGAGGCTGTTTGCACCTGTCCTATTCCTGCCACATACAAACAAAACATTAGCAAGCAAAGGCACCCCGTTCGATACTATGAGGCCTTTGAGATTTACATGGGTTCACTGGTGTGTAATGCCAGCATATCCTGGGGCTCTGGCCCTCTCCAGGTACAGAACTCATCCTTTATTTCTCCCTGTGATGGTCAGCAACATAATATCTGAATTTCTAAATCGTGCGTGTACCCTGATCTGTTCTTCCACAGGAAGATGCAGTCTGATTTGTGGCTTCTGCTGGCCCCCATGTTCACTTGTGGCTTCTACCTTTCAGCTTTCTGATGAGTGTGTCTTCCGAAAGACAGATGAGCAACAGTGTTATGCAGGCAGCTGCAGTTTTGGAGAGCAGCCTTGGCGATCACTTACAAGCTGGAGTCTTCTTTCTGAGGCTTGAGACAGTTTTCTGCACTTTGGATAAACTGAACAAACAGCTTCTTTCCAGGAAAAGTCTTTAAAAAAATGCTGAATGCAATCATTTCCACTCTGGAAAGTTATGTTGGTATAGAACTGGTTTGTGCTCAGTGCATCCCCATTTCCCACAGATTCTGGATCAGCTGTTAATGAGCCAGAACAGGAGTTTAATGCTCTAACAGCTCGAGATGTAAGGGTTGATCACACCTGTTGTAATGAGGAGACTCAGGATGGCTATGCTGAATTGCCAAGCTGAGCTCGTTGTAGTTTGAATTCAGACATTTCATGTCCATCCACATCATGAGGTATTGGAAAGAGGGTACTGTTAAACCTGCAGTCCAGAGAATCTGGGATGTTTTTGTCAACTAAATAAAGCAAAAAACAAACACAGATGTGGTACCTCTCCTGGGCTGATCACACAGATTTGGTTTTCTGTTGCAATCCCAAGCATTACAGAAATCTTTTGAGAACATTTTACTTCTGCGCTGGGTTTTTTGGGGGGTTGGAGTATTTTCTTTGTTGTTTTTTTTTTTTTTTTAGTGATGCTGGTTTGGTGCTTCAAAGCTTTTGAGCTTTGCATTGTGCATGTGGCTGAGGGCAGGAAGATATCTAAACTGATAAGAATTGCATAGTTAAAAAGGTTTCGGTGTCATTTGGTGGTGCTTTGCCAGAAACCACTAGCCAAAAAAGGACAGAAATTAGCATTTATCTGTTGGTAATGGTCAGTATTACCAGTAATGACATTCCTTCTCAAAATCAATAGGGGAAAATAAACTGATCAAAAAATACAATCTGTGTTTATGGAGAAATCTCTTAATTCTGATTGGGAAGCTTATCCTGAATTGGACCATAAGGCCAGTACAATTTTAATGCTTTTCACAATAATGCCTTTATGTGAACAGAAGTTTTCAATTTTAGTATTAATGAAAATTAAAAAAACCCATTACTTTGTTTTTTACTTTAACTGAAACTTTCACTAATCTTGACCAAGCTTTCACTTACTTTGTACTAAAAATCTCAGCCATCCTATTAAAACTGACAGAAAAAATGTAAATACATAGAATTCTAATGGAAAGAAAAAAAAGATGTGCAACATGTAGATGTTGGGAAGAATCAAATGAAGCTGCTAGGAATCACTGGAACCACTTGCTTTATCCTTCCCAGGATCCCTTCATACTCCAATGCTTCATGCAAGGAAAAAGCAGACTTGCTGAACTTTGCCTGCTTCAAGCTGGCATGAATTCAAGGGAAGACTGAACAAAATTCAGAGCAGGGATCTATTTGGCTTGGTGGTGTGGTTTAAGTTGGTTTTCTTTATATTCTTTAAATATTCTTTTCTCAGTAAATGCCCCAGACTAAATGTAATTAGAGCTAAGGACAATATTCAAGGGAAACACTTGCTCTTCCTAGCCTATAACCACTGTGGAGAAAAAACTTCGGGGGTTGGAGGATCCTTGTTCTGACCTAGCACAGCCACGCTTGTATGCTTACATTACAAATATGAGTCTAATACAGGCATTTAATACTACCATGTGTGTGAGACCTAGTATGCATCTGCCAAATAGTGTCGAGAAGTATGTCTTCATCATATAGTTAGTCTGAGATACTTCATCTAACAGTTAAACCCACTAAGCTCTGTGATTGATCCAATACAGTAACATTTGGTTTGACAGTTGCAACCTCTGCTTTCATATCCACTTCCTTCTTTCTTGAATAGACTGGTAACAGAACACAGTGAACATAAGGATGATTCCTCTCCTATAAAATTTTAATATTTCCATTTGTTCTTTGAGTTCTCTTCAGGTAACTTGAAGTTGTTTTCCTTAAGTCTTTTAGGTAAGAATCTGCTTTCTCTGCAACTTATATGTATAACATTTTCCATGTTATTCCCTTTCACTTTCTTTTTCCTGTAAAAGAGTTGAGACAAAGCAAATTCCTTGCTTGTGTAATCTGAAGATACACATCCGCAACAGTTTAGACCAGCACCAGCTGCAGGGCCTGTCTCTGCCAGAGGTGGCTCTTTACTTCATGGGGTGACAAAACAGGAATATGTGACTCTTTCCCTATTTCTACCACAGGATAATTCCTGTGGTAGCAGTTCCCAGCCTGATGTATCAGTTTACACTGCCACTCCAGAATCTGGGCGTGTTTACTATCCAGACAGCCCTTAAAGAAACATGAGAGTGGGGCATGACAAGGCTGCCACAAAGAATGTATGGCAGATGCATGCTCTCATGCAGAGGCCAAAGTGTTGTTTGACAGTGACTCAGAAGACTGTTTCTTATTCTGGCCATAGTCCTTTAATATTAAATTGCAAAGACAGCTGTTGTGTAAGCTGATCAAAGTAAGAAATTGTGTCAGTAAGTGAGAAACCCACCCTTTGCCATATGCACAAAAAGGGTTAACAGCTCCCAAGGACAAAAATAATTCCATGAAAGTTTAAAGTAAAAGTCATAAAATCACAGAGTAGTTAGGGTTGGAAAGGACCTTAGGATCATCTAGTTCCAACCCCCCTGCCATGGGCAGGAACTCCATGGATGGATACATGGATGTTCAGAGCCAGAGCGTCATTTTGTCCCACTAGATCCTGGCTCACAGACACACAGTGCTCCTCCAGGTTTTTGGGTATGTGTTCTGCCTTGCCAGCTGCCAGTGCCGGAGACCTCCCTCTGAGGAGGCCCATCTAATGATGGAGGGGATGTACTCAGCCCTCCAGACCAAACAGCAATACTGCCTGGTGTGAAATGGCAGGGAACAGATAGGATTCCTTTTTGTCTTTACTTAGAGTAAGAAAAACAGAGAAATCCCTTTGATTTTAGAGAACTACATACTTTACACAAATGGGAGCTACATTCTATACAGGAAGGCAACATGTGCACATACTGCTATATGAGATTTGTATTTGTTTTTCTTCTTTTCTGTACCTGTTATAGCTTTAATATTGCTTTGTAAATACATGGAAAAGCCTAAGGCTGTCCACAAGGCTTTACCAGCTATGTGCTGTGCAACTGTACATCCTTTTGCATTACTCATGATCTCACTTTGTAACTCAAAGACACAAGTGTAGAGTCCTCCTTTAAAAGAACAGGATTAACCATAACAAGGTTGAGTATGGGCAGCATATTCCCTGGCAAATAAGAAAAAGTGGCAGCTGGTACAAAACTGGTTTATTTAAAACTGTAATGTACTGTTTTGTAAGAAGCAACAGTACAACCTGCAATTAAATACCACTTGTGTTATCAACCGCTTGTAGGCAGCATATCATTCTATATGAGCAAGGATAATTCCTCACAAAGAGTTTTTCACTTATTTTTCTCTTATTCAAAGAGTTTCTCTGCATTGAAGAGAATCCCTCAGGAATCAGTGAAAATGAATGCTATATTGTCAGTTAAGCTGTCAGCTGTAGTA